ATGTAACAGTACCACACAGAGCTGCTGCTGCACGAGGCTGTGTGTCTTGCATCCTTCCTTAGCTGTGACTGTGACATCATGCATCTGCAAGGAGGAATTCATGGTGTGCTGGGGGCCAGCGGGGCCAGCAATGGCCTTTGAAAGGGGGAGATTGGGTATGTGCTGGTAGTCCCGGTGCTGTGGATGTGCATGGTGTATTCCTTATGTACTTGTGAGACCACACTTTGAGTACCACTCACATCAGGAAAGACGTTGAGGCCCTGGAGTGTGTTCAGAGAAGGGCAGCGCAGCTATGAGGGGTCTGGAGAACAAGTCTTATGGGGAGCAGCTGAGGGAGCTGGGATTGTTTAGTCTGGAGAAGAGGAAGCTTGTGAGAGACCTTATTGCTTTCTACAGCTGCCTGAAAGGAGGTTGTAGCAAGGTCGATGTCAGTTCTCCCACATAACAGCAATTGGATGAGAGGGAACGCTTCAAGTTGTGCCTGGAAGTGCTCAGGTTGGATTTTAGGAAAAATTCCTTCTCAGAAATAGTGGTGAGGCATTGGAACAGGTTGCTGAGGGATGTGATGGAGTCTTGAACACTGGAGGTGTTCAAGAACTGTGAGGATGCGGCACTGAGGGACATGGGTAGGGGGCATGATGGGGATGGGCTGATGCTTGGTCTTCATGATCTTAGTTGTCTTTTCCAATCTTAATGATTCTATATGGAGCACTTTAAATCAGAGTGGTTCCCATGCTTTCATTTGGGAGAGTCTAAAAGGAGCATTTGGAGACAGAGCATTATAGGCTAAAAAAACATGTGTAAAAGTGAACTATTTATGGTTTTGATGTCAACTGCTTCTTAATCCCACTTGTGTCCCATCCTCCTCGTCTGGAAGTGATAATCTTAAGTGAGGAGCATTATAACTATTAAATGGTTTGTTTTTAGTGATGACGTTGTAGTAGAGGCTGCATAGTGCAGGCAAGGGAAGTGATGTGATGTTGAGGAAATGAGAGATAGCCTGAGGCAAACAATTGTGTAACACACTGACCAAAACGTGGCTCAAAGAGCAAAATGTAACTCACCTTTATGTCTCTTATGTGAATGGCTACTGAAAGATTGCAGTTATTACAAGTATGCATTTCCATTGCTCACCTGTCGCAAGTTACATTGCTGTAGCTTAGTTTTTACTGACTACCATTTCAGATGTCTAATATATCTCTGCTGTATTGCTGTGCGTTCTGCTCTTTTGCAGTTAATTTTAATCTAATGTAGCTATAAAATATCACTTTCTATCCGAGTTAGCTTAAAAATCCAGGGTCATATCTACCAGACAAATCCTGACAAATCTGTGAACGTGGGATGTTTTTCCTTGAGCCTTATTAGACTGCCTTGGCTGGAGTGAGAAGGCTTCTTCCACTGATAAAGGGAAGCACAATTCTTTACTCCCTTGTACAAGTGCTTCCAGAGTGAGGCTTCTTTTTGAATCTTCCCTTAAGTGCTGTCCAAATGTCTCATTCTTTTTAGGCCTTTCAGATGTTGGTAGGAAATCATCAACTTGCATTTATCTGTGTTCATAAATTTTATATGATCTCTTTCCAAAAGGCAGATGTAAAACAGTGAGTGTGCAGGAGAGTTGTTTTATCTACCTGTCCTGTCAGATGGTGATAGGCTGACATGGGACACCACAGAATGACAAGGAAATTCTCTGAGTGCAAGGAAGGGTGGGGAAAATTACAGCACTCTGTAGGAGCATAATAAATTGTTGTTGGCTGTTATGATAACTGCAGTTAATATTTGGCTGAGCTTTCTTGTTTGCTCTTAACAAAAAGTGTTGTGTGGTTATTGTGACTTAAAAACAGTGAGGTGTTTTCACACAGACTCTGAAAGTTCTCTGGCACAGCACTTGTATCACTTCAGCACTGATGGAAATGTTGGGGTATAAGCTGCTGGGTTCCAGTGTTGCTGGTTTTGTGAGTAAAAGCCTTGATGTTTAACTGTGTTTTGGCCAAAATCACCCTAGTTTAAGGTCTAGCTTCATAGCAAATGGCTTCTGAAGGGAGTGAGAATTATTCTTGTAAATCTGTAGAGAATTCACCAGGATGGACTTTGGTGCTGTGTCAATAGGCATTTCTGAAGGACTGCTAACAGTGTGGTCACACAACCGGTTTTATCTCCAAATTGTTACTACGTAGGATGGTTCTGCTGGCCAGCTGCATGCTGCTCAATTGTGGACTCGCAGGCCAGTTTAGGGAGCGAAGTTCAGTTATCCTACCTGAATCACGTAGGACTTTAATCCACAGATGCATGTCTTCCATCACATCCAACGTGGGTCAATATTTATCAGTGCGTTTCAAGTTACCTGAAACCCCATAGAAATGTTCTGTGGATCTGACTTCCTATTCTTGTTCCTCTTCTTATTTCGGTTTTGTTCCAGCCTTGACTCTCAGGTACTAATGTTTCTTGCTTTCCTCTGTCTTGCTGGTAGATATGACCTTCTCAGAAGATGTGTATGTGCGTATGATTTCTGTATGTATAGTTTGGTACATCCAGCTTGCTTGAAGTATGTATTTGGTTGTGATAAACAAGGAAATTAATAGCTTACCTTTTGTGTTTCACTGATTTTGTTTTTGGCTCTTACACTTCGTATTTTCAGACTTTTTAAAGGGTCAGAAATCAGTGGGTTTCTTTTAAAGAGATTAAATGCTTCTGTTATCCTACAGACTGGAGTACTCCTCCTTTCTCAAGGGCAATATGCTTTGTGGTTTACAATTTGTGATTGTTGATAACATGGCAATGCAAGTACCAGATACTGATAACTGTTGGTACAACAGCCTGAGATGGATGCGAGTTGAGTCTGAGGGGATCTACTTCTGCATACTCGGGTATGTGAGCAAATCCTGTGCATACTAGATGATCTTTGAGGTCCCTTCCAACTCAAGCCATTCTACAATTCTTCGATACTTTTCAGTATGTATCTCAGTCTCATTTTCCAAATCCCGCTCTCTTAAATGAGACTTCAGGAGTAGCAGTGTGAAAGACAAAGGGAGAAGACATAGCATATCTGGTTCTCTCTCCTTGTAAAGTGTCAGCACACCTGCTTTTCAGGTGTATGCAAACCCATTTTGACTGTTAGGTGTTGCACCGTCCAGAGAAACTGGAATAAAGAATGAACCAATGTCTGGAACAGGTTTCCTCGAAAGCTGGCGAGCACGCCTGTGTTCTGGTGCAACACTAAGGGAAGGTGCTGATTGCTCATAACTGTACAGCTGTGAGTGCTGGCTGAGGGAGCCCTGGTGACTTTCCCTTCAGGAGGTGAAGCTGCTTTACATGTTCCCATAATACACCTCCGAATGTCTACAAAAACTTGGAAAATTGGAAGCTCATCAACAGAGCCAAGAATGTGCATAGCAAGACAGAAGTGTTTCATGCACCAGGCTGTGGCTGTTAAGTATATTCCCAGATATAAGCTAAGATATGCATGATAGTTCCCTACATGTATACATCACTCATCCCACTTCAGTTGTTCCCAACTCATGGAGTTAGTTTTCGTGTATGGAGCAGTCCTCAGTAGGTGCTCTTCCAGGGAGCATGGGCTATCCACTTAGGCTGTCAGATTCAATGTAGGCATATTGGCATTTTTAAAGCTATTTCCATGTAGCAGTCACTTTCTTGTTGAGATTTCTTGTTAAATCAAGAGAACACCCCACACGTGATGTTCTTGGCTAAACAAGGAGCACTGGATCATCTGTAGAACTGAAGGTACCACTGAAAAATTGTCAGTCAGATAATATGTCTTACTTATTAATACTTGCACAAGGGTAATAGCTTTTAAGTGCACAAAGACTGAGGTGTTTAGGCCTTGGTTTAGGAAAAATGGTGTAGTTATATCTCTGCAAAAGTTGTGCAGACAAGTCTTGGTTTGGAACGCCTCTATGAACTGGGATTTTTGAAAGTCAACTTAAAACTGCATTTGTCTGCAAGGCCTCTGAGTGATGGTCTCTGCAGCTGAGATCTGATCTGTTCTTATTTGTGATTGTGACAATTTCATGTGCAACACACCTGTTTTCCTTGGACAGTCACCTGTTGAGACCTTTTAAACTGGTCTGGGTTATTGCTCAGTGCAAGTGGTCACAAAAGTTACCCTGTGTTTGCTGACACTATCCAGAGTCCTGTAAAGCCACTTTGTGCAAACTTTTAACATTTACAGTCCCTTGCTTGGATTCCTCATTACTGCTTTGTTCTTTCTTTGTTTCCACGTCATCATTAAACAGATATTTTGATATTTCAAACTCTACCACTAATTAAAAAAAAAAAATGTCATTTATTCTGTAATATCTAATTCTTTAAGAAAATTTAGATTGTTATTATATGCTTTTACTAGTTCAAAGTGAATTATTTGCTTTAGTATAAAAAAAAAACATGCAAAATTTGTTTGTTTTGGGATATGGGTGTATGTACCCATTTTTGGGGTCTGATAATCCTTAGTAGTTTTCTTTGCTCTATAAAGTAGCATTAGTTTGTATTCTTTTCTTAGTATTGCATGTTACCACAAAGATTGGTTTAATATTTTTTGTGGAGGAATGAATAGTGAAGGGGGTTGTATGGTAACTGTTGAGTCACAGCCTGAACCACTGATGGAGCACCTGGGGAAAGGACCCGCTCAGCCCTGGGAGCACAGGTGAAGGCAATTCAGCTGTGTGACTGGAAAGGGTGGAGCCTGGCTGCACCTCTCTCAGACCTCATTTAAGGGCTGACTGCCACTGGGGAAGGATCTTCTTATGGAGATCCTTCCTTAGTGAAGCTTTCCCCTGCAAACCTAGAATCTTCTGATATGGGTGAGCAATCTTCTTCCTTTCCTGAATGGTACCTTTCTATCATGCTGGTCTTTCTGTTATCACTCCTTTGTTGTAATACCTTTTCCACTGTATTGATCTGTCCTATAGGTACAGGGGTGGTTTTTCTTTGTAATTTAGGAATATGATTGACAGCTAATTGTGTGCTTTCTTTTGTTTCTGTAGGCTGGCACCGATGCGATTATATACGCTGTCCAAACGACATTTTGTCCTGGTCTTTGTAGTATTCTTTGTCTGTTTTGGTTTGACAGTCTTCATAGGAATAGCAGGTAAGGATGTTGCCTTTTTAAAACATTCCCTTTTTGTATTCTTTGTCTTAGTGTGCCGATAGTTACAGATGTAGGTGAAAGCTAATGAGCATACTGCCCCTGAGACATCTGAGGAAATATTACTTCTTACAGAGGAGGAACATTTCTTCTCTCATGTTTTTTTTTTTTACAGGGATGCTACCATGCTACAACATTTAACAGCTCCCCACATGACATCTTATTTCTGTATTGACTGGCATGATCTGTGCTGCTCACTGACAACCCTCTTGACCGATCTCTATCTCTACCCCATCCTTCACTTCCTTTTAGAATGAAGAGGCCTGCAGAGGTGTTTGGCTCATCCAGTCCTGCCTGACTTGGGCTTTTTGTGTGTATCCATACCTTATAGGAAGCACTTTATTCGTGGTAGCATTAAAAATTTACCTACGGAACAAGTCTGTCTTTCCTGTTGCTTTGACTTACTGTAGAGGCCAAAGGTTCAAACAGAATGTATTTCAGTTCTTGAAGATAAATCAGTGTTTTTCCTCTGACTTGCCTAAGGATGCTGAAGGGCATTATTTTGTGACTAAAATACTAGACAAATACTTTCACATTTTATATGAATGACAAAATAGAAAACTGGAACTAGGTCAGTTGCAAGAATTGCTTAAAATTCTTTTACCTGAGAATGGGTGAGCAGCCATTTGTGCTCTTTGAGAATTTCATTCTTAATTAAGAGTGAGTCCTAAAATAGAGCTGTAGTTCTCTTGCATTACATCTGCCTGCATGCTCATCTAGTGCTGTGGGTGCCTTTGTTCCAGGGCTGCTGTAAGCAACGCTCCAACATCTGCACTGTGCCAGGCTTCTAGGACTTGTCTGTGGTTACCTTCAGGAGTTGGCAAAGCTGGAAAGTTGTTTTCCTTGTGAGACTGGTTTGTTGGATGGCTTTGTTGACGAAGCTTGGACGCAGTTGATTATTATAACTTAATTATTTTTAAAAGAAAGTTGTTTACCTTGGGAGGAGAACCACGGAATGAACACTTACGCTGTGGTGATTTTTAATGGCTTTGGCTGCCAGCTTCATACTTCCTGTGAACAGAAGGAAGGGCACGAACAATAGGGCATTCACTCATCAAAGGGTGCAGTCTGAGCTACACTCGCCAAACCCACTAGGTAAATGAAAAGGTGGCAGATGCATCCAGCTTTATGTGTGACCTCTATACCATTCCCCATACTCAACAGTTCTGTTTTGGGAAGGTTAGCAGTCTTAACTACTCCTCTGAGTAAAGAAAACAGCTTTCTCTGAGGAGGCTGTGCTTTTCAGTTCTTGTAACCTAAGAGGTGGGGATTTGTTTTTTTGCAGGTTACGCTTGCTCACTTTCCCTTTTCCCAGTGTGTCTTTGTGATCTTTGTGGTGAGATGAGTGCGAGGACAGGATAAGGAGCAGAACTCATTTTCTGTACCTATGCAGTTTTCTTGTTCCTCATCTCAGAGTGGTTCTCTGCTTCCTAATGTGATTCTGTTAACTTAGTAAGAATAAGGGAAAGCAATAACAATGTAATTTAAGTACAGTTGTTGTTTTAGTCAATAGTAAGACCACAAGATGTTTCTGTTGGTTGCTTTAAAAAGCTTTAGTATATTGCTTGCTAGAAGCGCAGCAGTTACAGCAGTAGAACCGAGTTATTGTTTTGGTTGCAGTTCAGTTTTGAAAACTGGGATAATGATCTCTTTGCTCCAGCGTTTTTTTCGTATCTTCTGGTTTACTTTTAAAAAAGAGCTCTTCAGAAAGTTCTGGTGTTTTTTCGTTAATACTTAACTACTGAAATGTGATGACTAATCAACTCTGAGCAGTTACAGAAAATCAATTATGCTTTTTGAGACAAAAATACTGGCCAGAAATGTACCAGGCAGTAGTTCGTATGTACTTGAGAACTGGGAAGTTCAGTAATTCTCAGCTGGCTTTGTAACACATAGCTGCTAGTGAAGTTGAATTGTAATATGAAGCTTAAGGTCTGTAAGATGGTTAATAATGTAGTTAGAGTGGTTATAGAAGCCCAGGCAATACTACATGTTTATCTTAACCGTCGTGTCAGCTAACATAAAATTCTTGCCCAGAATGAGCTCATGAATGAGCTCACTCATTTATAAACCCTTCTTTTCTGTTGCTTCTCTGTTGTAATTTTGAATTCCATTCTTTGTAGAAAAACTGTCTTTATTGCATAGTTTTTAATACTACTATTATGTCTGGAACAGCATGTTTTAAGGATTGGTAACTTGTGTTAAATTGCCATACCAAACAGGAGAGAAACTTGGATAGGGAAGGCTAACTGGGACTGGAACCAGAGACCCAGGCAGACATAGAAGCTCTGTTTATGTCCCTAGATGCTGTGCATCTCACTGTTTCTTCACGCCCCAGTATATACTTGCAGACCTTTTCCTACTATTCCCTGTGATTTTTCTTATTCTGTGTATGTACAAATGCATGTGTGAGTATCATTCCCCTTTCTCCAAGTCCTCTGTGTTCTTGCGTATCTAAGAAAATGAAGGAAAAACCTTATTGCAATCTATGACCTAATCAGAGGATAAAGAACATGGGGCTAGACTCTCCTTGTCACGACGCTTATGAGAAGAGAGGCAACAGATGCAAGCTGGAATGCAGGACATTGCAGTTAGATATTAAGAACTATTCCTTTAAAATTTTTTTAATCATAAGAGTGGTTACAAATTGCCCAGGGGTGTTCTAGGAGTCTCTGTGCTTAGAGGTTTTCAGGACTTATCTATGTGTGATCCTGATCTAATTTCACCTCTTTGGAGGAGAGGGTTGAACTCGACAGCTGCTGGAGTTTTTTTTCTAAAATAAATAAAGGTTTTGTAGTTTCCCCACTTACTGCATACTAATGTAGAGGGGAGAGGATGTGAGTGGACAGATGTAGTTAATCAGTACACATTCAGTGTGTGAGTCTTTATCTGGAGAAATTGGAGGAGTGATTGCCCTAGGAGCAGGAATGTGGGAGAGAGCTGGATATCTCCCACTACAGATGAACTTGAAACTGTTGATGGAATGGATTGTGTGTTTTAGGAGAACTTGTTTGTAGAACTTCCGTGCAATTACATTTATTGTGATGGTATGCATAATATATCACAGCTCCCCATTTTTATAGAAAAGAAGGGTTCCAATCTGGCTGGTCTGAATACTGTTTCTAAACAGACTTGTGAGTTGCCTTGCTTGAGCAGCCCAATACGATCAAGATCCTGCACGAGCTACAAAGTACTGTCACTAATTATGCAGTCAAATACGCTACATGTACATAAAAAGGCATTATCACTCAGTCAGATGCAATGTAATGTATTTGTCCAGCTGTGCAATGCAATATAGTCGTTATCTTCCAAGTAAATTGGGTAATGGTAGCAGTTTGGCCATAAAAACTGGAGAGATAAGTGCAGTTAAAAAAGCTGTTTTTTCAGATGCTTTTGCAGCCCTTGATTGGGCTTCAAGGTGCTGTAACAGCAGTGCCTCTGTTGCTCACTTGGCTTTTATCTGCAGCCAGCTACTTTCATGACTGCAACGCGTAGGGAGGGAAGCACAGAACATAGAGCACGTAGCTTGAGGGAAAATATACCATGTCTTTGTTGTAATTTGGAGTATGCATGTAGAACTTCTGACATAAAGTTCTTGATTAATAATTTATACCTTACTTATGATCAGGAAGATTAAGGCAGAATCTGCTGGGGGCAGGGAGGGAACGTTTTGGCCAAGTTTTATTAATGATATTGAGAAGCCTAAGTGACTTACCCTTCAGTTAGAACATCTGCCAGATGGGGTGCTAGTTACCTGCTTAGTGAGGAGGTATTTTGTACAACATTTTGAAATCCTGTATTTACACTGATCCTTCAATATTGTTCTCTTCCTTCTTGTTTATTATGTAGGTCCTAATGTAATTGAAACTTCTGTAGCAAGAACTGACCTAAATAACAGCATAAAGGTAAGGGTTGATAAATAGTGCTGGATTATCCAAATATTTTATTTGGTCTTCATAATGTCAAATACACCCTTTCTCCAGTCCCATCATTTTAAGTAGTTAGTTTTCTACTAGGAAACTTCTTGGCCACTTGATGCTTTCCAATTTGAAACAGAACATTTTGCTTTTATTACTACTGTGTGACCCAGCACCAATTTTTAGTCTCCTGCAAGTAGGTAAGGTAGAGAGTTCTGTGATGGGTGGTGTTTCTTCACAGTAATTCTTGATGAAGTAACACTCAGTGCTGATAGGATTCCCTGGTGAACTCATGCTTGGAGATTCTTGTGAGGGTCCAGGATCAGAAACTGAGAACAGGAAACAGAAAAACAATGTTCTGACAAATAACAATAATTCTCCTGTGATTTTTTTTTTTCTTTTTTCCTTTTTCTCAGTTGGGAAGGAACGTCTGTTTTCCTTCTTAATTGTCCATTGTCAAGTGGCTATGACAGTGCATTCTGTCCTCTTATCATGAACCTTTACTGTCTTGAAGAATTCCATATTAAGCTTCCACGTTCTCATTTTCAGTTTCTCTATTTCTGTCCAGTTCTTTGCTGTTAAATAACTAAAATTTTTATGAAGTTGCTAACAAAATAACTATACTTAATTTTTTATTACTATTACTTTGTTAAATGCCCTGACACTTCTGGAGGTGTTTTTTTTTTTTTGGTCAGTAGGTCTGTTACACACATTTAAATTGGTACTGTAATGAGTGGACTTAAAAAAAACAAACAAACTCAATTGATATTAAAAATGCCTTTACTGAATTAGATTTTCTCTGTTAATGTTATCCTCTATGCTTTTGAATGTGGGATTTCTAGAAAACCAGTGGAAAAATAGTTGTGGTTTACATACTTAGGTTTAAACTGTTTTAATTGTGTAGCAGATGGGCTGGGGTCACAAGTCTGACTGGACTGGTAAAGTGCTAGAAATTACTTTTTTTTTTTTTAAAGACTGAATCTCTCATATCGGAACTGTTTTTATTGCTGCTGCTTTTATGTGCTTTAAATATTCAGTGCATTTCAGTGCTGTGCAAAATATGGGTGCTGCTTTAGCTGCTTCATTGGAACGTGTATATGTGGGGTGCTTATACTGTCCATGCAATAGCACACATTAAATCGGTTCCTAAAAAAAAATATTGTTCCTAATGTACCTTTCATTGTTATGACTGCAAATGCATTGTGTAATATAATGACTGATGCTAACCTTGGTGGGGTTTTTGTTGTGTTTTTTTAACAGCTGAAGCCTTTTAATTTAAGTTCGCCACCACTGTCTACTTATAACCAGCAGCTGTGGCTGACCTGTGTAGTCGAGTTGGATCAGCATGATGGTGAGAGTCTTACCTAGAGTTGAGGAGACTGCTGTAGCAACCTAATTTTGTGTATTCTTTTGTTGCATACACAATTCTGTTTCTTTGTGGCTGTGCTTGGTGGGTTTTTCCTCTGACACAATCTCTCCATCTCTACCACTTGCCCTCAGTAAAGGGATGGATTGAGCTCATCTTGAGAATTGGATGCAACAGGTGCACGGGACAGGCTGGGAGTTGTTCTACACACTGCTGTTTTCATAGAAATTTGTCTGTTTGGGGAGAAATTAGGTGTGTAAGTTGTAATATTGCTAATTGTGCAGTGAAGTTTCCCTGTACATACAAGAGAAATACTGTAATCAGGAATTCTTAACATGTTAGGATTCAGTACAGGGATTGTATGACTTAATGGCAAAATGTATAAATGAAGGGGGATTTTTGCTCATTTGTTTTGAAATTAATATAATTGAACATTACTCCAGTAGAGTATAACCAAGTACTTTTGGATATCATCTCCATTTTAACCTTTGAGATTTTACTTCTGCATGCAGCAATAGCTTAACATTTTCTCTCTCAATTACAGTATCACTCAAAAAGAATGTTACTATGACAGTCAAAGTGCTCGGAGTGGTGAAGGATGGAAGCACACCCTATGTTAATAATCAAGTTCACAACCGGACACGGTTGCTCAGTTGTGCACAGGTATGTGTCTGCTCCAAGGAAATGCTGTTGCAGTACTTTAAATATATTTGTGTGCATGCTCCATTACATGGCTAGTTTGTTTCTTTCTGTGGCTTGTATCTACTACCTCAAAAAGACCCCTTTTTTTTTTTTGTTGGAGCTTTCTGCCAGCAAAGTACTGTGTACCGATTTAAACAGATTAACAGTACTGTGGGAAGGAACATTTGAATAGAAAAACATTTGAATAGAAAAATATTGAGCTCTCGAGGAGAGAAAAATTCTTGTCCAGCAGCTGGCAGAGCATTTGATTGAAAGCAGCTAGCTTGTGTGCTTGAAGGGGAAAAAAAAAAAGATCTTTCCACAGAAGAAGTTTTTGAGTTTCTAGTGAAACTTTTAGTTAAAGTTTTGAGTTTAAAGATGTCTTGAACAGTTTATCCAGAATGAAATCCTTGAGGAAGAGAACAGCTGAAGTTATTTTAGGAAAAGTGTATAGCATAAATCAAGTTTGTTTGTTGATAAGACGTGTAATAATCATCATCTGTATCTACCTACTCAGAAACGAGCTATCTAACCTATATTACCAGTGAATTTTGTACAATAAATTGAAGGTTTTTAAATATTGCTTTTCCCTGTGTTCACAGAAATGCAGTGAAATCATTGTTGCTCACCTTGGCTACCTGAATTACACTCAGTACAACATATTTGTTAGTTTTGAAGATCTAAATAAGTTAACATATGCCATACAGAATATTACTTTCACAGTAAGTATAAAGTTTTATTCTAGCAAAAGAGATCTCTGGAGAAGTCTGCTTTAATTGTAATAAAAATTTACTTCATTTTTGAACGTGAAATATAAAGATGCATTGTAATAAAGCTTTCTGTCACTGCTGGTTTCAGAGTTACAGTATTTGTGTTATTAGTGTTCTGGAGCAATATTTATCTTTATAGTGAAAGCATTTTTTTTTTCAGAATTTCTATTGCTGATTTCAGGGACGGATAATTTTAGTGTAATTCCTAGGAGGTATTTAATGGTAGACAAGCTGGACTAGAATATCCAGTTTTCTGCATTTTCACATAGAGATCTTGCCTTTCTAAAGCGTGCTATCTTTGTTAGCCTTTCCAGGAGGTGTCTGAATTACCAGGATTTTTCTAGACTCTACAAAAGTGCTGGCCTGAAAGATCTGAAAGACAAAGGCAAATGGAAAAAATTGTTTGATTCTGCTTGTGAGGAAGAGGAAATTGTTGGGTTTTTTCTAAGTAAAATAAGCAGGCAGTCCCTAGCAAAATGAACTGGGCAAGTTACAGTACTAAAGGTTGTTTATAAAACAGTTTAAAAAAAAAAGTGTTGAATCACTCCAAAAGGAAGTTTAGAAACATTTACATTCGGAGAAGCTGGAACTAAACTGAACTTATAATACTATTTATTATGTTGTATTCTGCCTGTATATAACATTATGTATGTCAGAGCAGGCAGAAAAAAAAAGTTTACTGTAAAGCAAAAGTGATTTATATATACTAAATAAGCTTCCCGAATCTTCATATTTGATGTATTCTAATTTATAAAGTGCATTATTAAAAATAAGTTGTTGGAGAAGAAAAAGAAAAAAACAGTGTTTGCATAGTTGTGGATTTCAGGCAGGGTGAGGTGTTGGGGCATTTATAGTTCTATGGCTTATCATCTTGCTTTGCAGGCTTTCCTTCATGCAAACGACCAAAAACCCAATCCAGAGGATCTGCTTTCCCATAGCAAGTGGACACACCAATTCATTTTGTTAGTACAGTGGCTTGTGGTGTTTTCAGTTGAAATAATAGATTCTCTTGTAGATGAGGATCCTTGACATAAAACTTTCATTCTACGTTTGCACTTAAAGACAAGAGAGAGGTTTATGGGTAGATTTAATCCATTGAAAGGTAAAGCTTCTGTCAGATGAGCAGAGCATACGTGCATGCATTTCAGAAGTAGCTTCTGAAGAGAAGCAGGCCAGATAGGAGAGAATTTCTCAACAGAGTTCATGCAAAATGATATGTTATAATGAATTTCTGCCCATATAATAATTAGAGGACTAAGGCAGCTTTTGTTCCTTAACCTTCAAAAAACTTCTTTGTGTCTGGTTAGCTCGTTTATTCTTCTTGTTTCAGAAGTGAGACTCAAGAGAACAAGCTTTAAGAAAACAAACTCGTTACAGAAAACACAACTGTACCTTATCAATGTTTTCATAATCAGTTTATGTATTTGACCTTGGTGATAAAGAAGAACACAGATCTTAGTCAATTACTGAAGTTCAAATTTTGAACATGAGAGAGATCAAAAAGGATGCTCCTTGTTGATTTCTAAGAAATACTTTGGTGTGTGACAGCACAGTGAGTGTGTTACAAAGTGGCAGGGTAAAGGAGAAGCAAAGAGATTAGTCTGCTTTGGTTGTCTTTTCATTGGCTAGTTGTTTTTCTTTTTTCCCTTCTAAAACAAGCTTTACCTTGGAAGAAAATGTGTGTGAATGTATCTTTGTATTTCCATAGTGACATGGGGGAGTTTGGTTATACCTTCAAATTTTGAAAAGCTGGAAAACACCTTCTGCAAAAGGTGTTAATTATTGATGTTGCGTGACCCCTCTAAAAACATTGTTGAGCTGTTTTTCTTCTGTTTTCTTGTAGTGGAAGACATACAATCCAACATTTTCACAAGTGGAAATCTGGTTCCGTTTCGTCTTTGTAGTTCTCACCTTTATGGTCACGGTAAGATTTTTGCTTCAGTGTTTTTGGGTAATGCTGCACTGTAGTGCTTTATTTAGTAACTTAGCCCCAGGCTGTCGAATTCAGAAATTATTGAAGGGGTGTTAATAAAGTTTCTAAAATACTGATTTACTTGCTGCTTCTATGTAGTTACAAGTGGCATTGTGGGACATTGAGAATAAATGGGAGAAGCTTGTATTTTTTACACTGATTTTTGAATTTAGGAGAGATGTTTTCTTCAAACAAAAAACTTCTGATTAGATCCTAGAAAAAGAAGATGGTTTTTTCAGTGGGCTCAGAATAGGATGCCCAGACAGTCTTTGTTCTCTGTCTTTAAAAATAAGTAAAACTCAATTGAATATGACCTTGATCAACTTTAGAGTCATCGCTGTCTTGACTGGGAAGGTGGACCAGATGACTTGCACATATCCCTGACAACCTAAATTACTCTGTGATTTAGATTATCTATCACTTCACAGTTATGCCCCTGGAGCAGAAATGTCTGGGGGGAAAGTCAAACAGTAGAACAATAAAAAAAAGATAAATTCTTAAAGTAAGATTTAAAAATACTTAGCTACTTTCATAGCATTTCTTTCACGTATGTGATGTCACTCATTGATGACTGTGAATGTTGTACAGGATCTAGATATGTATTTTTTTTAATAAGTGACTTTAACTGGAAGTTGTTTGTAGTGTGTGACCAGTAACTAGGCAGTGGTTTTTTTTCCCCACATATTTGTTAGTGCAATACTAGCTAGCTTCCTTTTCAGTTTGAGTCATTTGTGATGAGGTAAGCCAGCAAAGTTATTGCTAAAGGAGGAAAAGATGTGATTCGTGTTTCATTGTGTTATCAGTGTCAAAGACCTTGCAAAGTAGGTTTGCAACGTGCTGTACATTGCTATGTAGATTATTTTTTCCTTCTAAATTTTTTTTTGTATGTTTTTAGTGTCTGTTTGCACATTCTCTACGAAAATTCTCCATGAGAGACTGGGGTATTGAACAGAAATGGATGTCTATCCTTCTTCCTCTCCTCCTGCTTTACAACGGTACTGGGTTTTTCTATAAACCATCTTTTTTTAAAAAAAAAAAAAAAAGAAAGACAGAGAAAATGCTCAGGTTTGGCCTTGAACTTGCAAGTAGTTGTCTATAAGGCTTCAGAAAACTAATTTATAAAAAAAACAACCCTTCTAAAACATGTGAAATTTAAGGTTATAATCAATAGGTAGGCTTTGTTCTTTTCCCTCAACTCCATTTAAAATTGACTGCAGTAGGATTGCAATCATGCTGACCCTTTCACATAGATGTATTTCTGTATTTACCTGATAAGCCTTACTTCTGTATTTTTCATATACTCATGCTGTATTTAAAAACAGAAGCTGTGTTTAGTCTTGTAAATGACATCAATTTCAAACACTTTCTAGCAGTACTGAAAGAATGTTTGTCTTTCAGGTATTCTGTGGTTCATCACCTAGAAAAGTGGTTTAGCAGAAGGTCTGTTAAAACACAAAGTCTTTCAGAAATGTTGGCGACTACATATTTGTGTAGTTTTACAGTCAATTGCAGCTGAAAGCATCATTTTCTTTGCAAATATTTTAAGATAGAACAAACTCCAGTTTCACTTTCTGATGTAATTTTAAAAAATCTTTTTCTTTCTTCTCAAGATGAATTCAACTTATTTTTACTAAGAGACTGTTCTTTCCCCCTCTCCCCTTTAACTTCTTTTCTTTTGTTACAGACCCATTTTTCCCCCTTTCTTTTCTGGTGAACAGTTGGTTTCCTGGAATGCTGGATGACCTATTCCAATCACTGTTTCTGTGTGCGCTGTTATTGTTCTGGCTTTGTGTCTACCATGGTATAAGAGTACAGGTAGGGGTGCAACCATATCTAGTATGCTTACTGAGAAGACAGTACTTGTTTATTCAGTTATTTTTTAATTAAGTTGTTTGTCACCTTTTGAGATAAGTGACATTTTAAAGTACAATGTAAGAAACAGAATTAAAATGTTTTGTGGTAAAGTAGAATGCATTGAGACTGTCTCCATCTATCTCATTTAGGTATGCTCAAAGCTTTGGAATGATGGTACTGTTGTTATTGCTTGAAGGGTTTTGTTGTTGTTTATGATCGTTGTTCATTTTTAAAACCACTTTATAATATTGCATAAAGGAAATGTGAATTCTGGGGCAGATTCCTATCATTTCAGTATCGGTGAAATACGTGGGATCTCTTCTGTATCTCAACTTTAATGCAAATGATACAATTTTGTATCTTCTTTTGTATTCTGCGATCAGCTGTACAAGTTAAAAAATATTGAAGGTGATTTTTCTTAATCTAATTCATCAAATAAAAGAAAGGAAAGGTTATTTTATTCTGCCAGGATGGATTCAAATCTCAAATGTGGGTTCACTCCTTGACCATGCTATTGTTGTATCAACAGGGAGAAAGGAAGTGCTTAACCTTCTATCTGCCCAAATTCCTTATTGTTGGACTGTTGTGGCTTGCCTCTGTTACATTAGGCGTATGGCAAACGTAAGTAACTTAAAATGTAATGCAAAAGTTATGAACTGAAATTGCTCTGGAGTGTGAAGATTGTTTATAATTCTGTCTTCTTCCTCTTTGTGCCATAGAAATGAAGTTGAAATTATATTTTGTTTTGCAAAGTGTGACTGATTTGAAAACAGAATTCTTCATGGACAACTTAGTAGTACATAATTTTATAAATTAGAGTAAGAACTAGAAGTCAGTATGTGAGTATGTTAGGGTTCCCTCCAACACACTCTTCCTATTAGCTTTTTCAGTATTTGAAGCATCAGTTTCCCTGTTACCACAGTTTAACAAAGCTGTTCAACCTGCCCAATTGGTATTAACAGATCTTAGCCAAGCTATGCTTCCCAAGACTAAGTTAACGAATTCAGAGTTTTTCCTCTTTCTCACTGTTTCAGTCACTTACATAAAGGTGTCAATATTCCACACAGAAAACTTTGTCGGTTTTGACACGTTTTTAAATCTCTTAAGCATTTTACTCTCAATTGCTTGTCTATCACTTTATTTCTCAGTATATATTTCTTGCCATTGCACGTTTTTGAAAGTGGTGCAATTGCAGGGAATGTTGGTTTTAATGTTTTATCAGCAGAATTTGTATGAAGTAAAGGTTTAAACAGCTGTTATTTCTTGAGTATCATTCTTATCACCAAAGTAAATCCTGAAGGCCTGTAGGAATTTACAAAATTACACATTTTCTAAAAAGATAAAAATAGAATAAAAGAATCATCCAGGTTGGAAAAGACTCATAAGATCATGAAGTCCAACTGTCAACCTGAACCATGCTGTCCCGCTACCAAACCCTATGTGCTACATCTGCATATCTCATAATTGCCTCTGGAAATGGGGACTCCACCATTTCCTAGGTAACCAATTGTAGTGTTTTACCACCTTTTCCTTGAATAAATTCTTCCTGATGTCTGATTAAACCTCTACTGGTGCATCTTGAAGCCGTTGCCTCACCTCCTATCATTTGTTACCTGAGGAAAGATCCCAACACCCTCCTTGCTGCAACCTCTTTCAGGCCATTGTAGAGAGCGGTGAGGTCCCCCTCATGCAGACTAAACAATCCAAATTCTCTCAGCTACTCCTCATAAGTCTTGTTTCCTAGTCACTTCACCTGCTCAGTAGTTCTTCTCTGTGCACAAGTAGGGAGACAGGACATGCTGGCTACTGAAATCATCCATATTCCTTGAAAAATGGGATTTAGAAAGGAAAAGGATGTCATGTAAATTGTCATTGAAATCACTGGCATTGCACCAATTTCTACAGCCAAGATCTTCAGTTCTAATCTTTGAGTAGTAACTTTAAACACTTTCTTTGTTAGTAGATTTCCTGGTCTGTGTATTGTTTTTGACCTTGTATTTTGTAGTGATTTACGTACCAATTTTTCATTTTGATTTTTTTCTAGTGTTAATGAAGTACATGATCCTACATATCAATACAGAGTTGACACAGGTAATTTCCAGGTAAGTCAGAAATATTTCTTTGTTCAATTGTCGAATGTAGTTAGGCAACACGATGAAGGGCATTTGCTCTCAGATTTCCATTGAAATCTAACAGTTTAGAAAATTGCTGGCCTGCTGATCTTACCTACTCGGACTACTAGGGTACTTTCCATTTTGCTTCAGATCACATGTAGGCTATATTGAACTCCAACCCAATGAGAACAATAAATTGTCTTGCAATAATCTTGGGTGTCTGGAGATTTGACACTACATGTTTTGTCAGGGACTCATGACTGTGGGAATCAAAAGATGATTTTTTTTTAAGCTTCTTATTAAGTCAGTTTTGCATATCTTGACTCTTGCCAAGGTCCTCTGTACTAGAAAATTTACAACTTCCTTACTGAAGAGGAAGATACAATTTATATGGTTTCCTGTGTAATTCTCAGGAAATATGTTTGTTTAAAAAAAAAAAAAGACTACCTTGACATATGCCATCCTCATTTTGTACTTCCTTTCATGAGTGTACTTTCCCTGAATAAATGCACCATTATCTACTGTGCTTTAGAAATTGACAATTTCTGTTGCAGGGTACAACTGAAGAAAGCAGTAATAGACCAAATTTTCTTAATTAATATTCTTTTTATAGGGAATGAAAATCTTCTTCCTTGTGGTGGCAACCACATATATTCTCTACCTTCTGTTCCTGATAGTGAGAGCATGTTCAGAACTCCGTAACATGCCTTATGTTGGTAAGTTTTTTTTTTTTGGTTCTTCTCTAAGCAGACTGTCTTCTCCTAGATGTAGGTGTAAATTCTCTAATAATAATTTTTCTCAATCTTTATCAGATCTCAGGTTGAAATTCTTGACTGCATTAACCTTCGTAGTGCTCGTCATTAGGTAAGGCTTTTCAGAGAACATTTCACAATACTCAAACTTCTGTATACTTAAAGCCTTGAAAGAAAAGGTTATATTTTTTTGATAATATTTTACCTCAGTAAAAATAAGAGGTGTGGGTTTTTTTATGATCACTTTGGTAATCAGTTCATAATTTTCTTAAGGTTTTTATAGACAGTTTTGTATTTCCATTACTGCCACAATACCCTGGAAGACTTAGTGGGAGATGTATTTTGTATTGCTGAGTGGTTCACACTGTACTGTTGATTTCTTTTTGGAATTTTGTAAGCTGTGTTCTGTAAAGCAGAAATTAAAAATTACTTTTACATTATTGTTTATATCTGTTGCCCACTCCAAGCAGTTATTTCAAATTGCTGCTGGCTTTTGGATTGTCTTTAGTGGGTGAAGTATGACAAAAATAGATTGTTTTTTTTTCCCTTTATTAAATTGACTGCTGAATTTAAATCACAAAATAATCATTATTAATTTAGAAATATGAAAACAAAATGTGTCATCAAATAAATGGCATTTTAGCATAATTACTTTTTAATATACTACTCTATCAAGCTTGCACTTAAATTTTGCATTTGAAAGACTCATTATACCTATATGACGTTACTTTTTTTTTCCCCACAGCATTGTCATACTCTATCTACGCTTTGGAGCACAAGTTCTACAGGACAACTTTGTGGCTGAGCTGTCAACTCATTATCAGAATTATATCCTTGCGTTGTGATGTTGCTCAACTGAGAATATTAATCTGGTTTTCTTAAAGATCTGGAAGTACTTAAAGATGATTTACCTAAGGACTGAGTAATTTGGCTTTTAGGTGGGCTTTTGAAACCCTGATCAAAATTGATAGAGCATCATGTCATTATTTTCTAATAGCTGTTTGTAAAGATTATGAGCTGAGACAGTTTCAGTCTAATTTCTTTATATCAAATAAACCACAGCTATATTTGATACTCTTCAAAAGGAATGAAAGCCCAGGCCATCAGCAATTTGTCTGCAGTTAGAACTTTACAGCTTGAGTATACTAGTTGTCAATTAATCTTAAAAAAAAAAAAAAAAAAAGGCAATTGTTCATCCATTCATGTTCTCAAACTTTATTGTGGCAAACATTCTTTCTGTTGGAGCAGCTTACGTATGTTTTGAATCTTGTTTCCAAAGTTTGTGTGAACGGAGCTATATTGAGAAAAATCCTTGACGCTTTCTACCAGCAGAATTCTTATCATTTTATGGTTTATTGAACTTCTATCTCTACACGTTAGCCTTCGTGTATTCCCCCTCAAAGAACGCACTATATGGTAAGCAATTCATAGAATCATAGAATGGCCTGGGTTGAAAAGGATCACAGTGATCATCTAGTTTCAACCCCCCCTGTTATGTGCAGGGTCACCAACCACCAGACCAGGCTGCCCAGAGCCACATCCAGCCTGGCCTTGAATGCCTCCAGGAATGGGGCATCGACAGCCTCCTTGGGCAACCTGTTCCGGTGCATCACCACCTCCTGTGTGAAAATCTTCCTCCTAATATCTAACCCAAACCTCCCCTGCCTCGGTTTAAAAACATTCCCCCTTGTCCTATTGCTATCTGCCCTCCTGTTTATATGCTCCCTTCAAATATTGGAAGGCCAGTGAGGTCTCCCCGAAGCCTTCTTATCTCCAAGCTAAACAATTCCAGTTTTCTCAACCTTTCCATATAATTTAAAACAGCAGCTATCAGCAACAGGTAGTACAGAAATGATGGTTTTAAAGCAAGAAAGAGCGATTTGTCATAAATAGCCAGTAGAAAGTATGTACCTTCCTTCTGTCTCACAATGAAGTTACAAGCCCTTCCTTCATCTATTACAAGGATGGAAAAGAGCCAGCTAGTTGTTAATTTACAACTTTGGTTTGCTACATTTATAACTTAGAACAAACAAGGTCATAAATTCTATGCTTTTTAAAAAAGTATGAATATTTGAATAACCAGAATGGTAATGTGTGACTTAACTATTTGTAAATAAAAACAATATGGCATGAAACTGAACAAGGGAGGCTTGTACAACATGGGGAATATATATCTGAAAATATGAGGAAGACATTGTCATTTCTTAAAATTTTAAGAACACCATGATGTTGTGGTCTGAAGGGTGGAGAATTCAAAGGAAAGAATTCTCGGATATAGTTTTGTGAAGTTGTTTTCATGATTGCCTTGTAAGTTTTGGGTCTGTTTCTTCAGTGTTGGAGTAAAATTGCAGCTGTGTTTCTAAACTTAATGTGCTAGATTAACCCTTATTTGTATTTTTCCAGAATCACAGTTGAAAGACAATCCTGCTTTTTCTATGCTGAATGATTCAGATGATGATGTGATTTATGGGTAAGATTATAAAATACGTATGGTGCTTTTAGTGTGTTTTTCTAATATTCTTTTCCATCTTAATTAAATAACTGTAACTGAGGACTTCACAGATTATTAGTGAAAGTAGACTGCCTGTGTAACAGAAGCAGCTTACACTGAAATAGAAATAAAATGAGAATGTGTGTTATTTTGATTATTTTGGCTTTCTTTTCTTTTTGGTTTCCCAAAGGAATTGCAAAGGCTCTGATACAGATGGGTAAGTTAGTATTTAGGATAGGTCATGGAATGAAGGCAGCAAGGTATGTGAATGGAAAGGAATTCCTTTCAAGTTGGGAAAGATTGGAGGAATCAGGTGAAGTCAGCTAGGGGCAACTGATGCAGAAATGCTGCTGAGAGGGATAATGGTCCATTTAAAGCGTCCATCACCTATCAAAATAGCAGTAACCAAATGTAGCAAAATTTCCAGGACTGGAAATAGTAGTGGATGAAAACTTATCCAGGTCAGGCTTTCCTGTGCTAGTAGATGCTGAACAAACTGTTCTGCCCTTATCTGCCCTTGTTGTTTTCACCTTTTAAGCAGAGGCACCGAAGGGCTGACCAGTGGGAGTAGCTTAATACTGCAGTAACCTGAACAAGCCTGCTAGAGTAGCTGCGTGCACTGTTCTGAAGTGGCTTGCCTTCATTTAGTTAAATGAATAGTGGTCTAGCAGTAGTGCCAGCTTGCACACATACCAATCCTTGTCAGTAGTGGTTTGTAGCTACTGCAGTAATTTTTATTGTATATCAGTCTCTGGAGAGAAGTCCTATGTATTTTTCATAACCCCAGAAGGAAGCAAAAGAAATACAAAAATACAAACTTCTTACTCAAGTAACAATTTGATGCCTCATTTTATTTTAGAATTTCTCTATTTTAGACTTACTAACTGATCATCACATTCAAAAGTTAAAAAAAAAAATACCTGTTTCACAGGAGCGACTATGAAGAAATGCCACTTCAGAATGGCCAAGCTATTAGAGCTAAGTTTAAAGAGGAATCGGACAGTGACTGATGGAGTGATTTTGATATAGACAGACTTGTTCAGCTGGAATTAAAGCAATTTTGAAGTTTTCCTAGATGGACCACTTCCTTGGCTTACTTACAGTCTGCTGTCATCTGAACATGGAATTCCAGGAAGGACATTCTGCTGCTTTCTGTTTACAAAGGTAAAGCTGAAAAGAAAAGAATGCTTGAAAAGGTTGTGGTGGGAACTCAAGGAAACCAAAATTTATATGCGTCTTATAAAATGCCTGTTGGCAGGATGTCTCTGGACTAATGTTTAAGTCTATGTCCATTTCGAGGTGTAACAGATTATGTACAGATCTTAAAATTGCTTCTTTGCTGCTTGGTGGTTTGTCATTGTTCCCCTCCCCTTAGGATTATGTAGAACATAGCATCTTAAACCTCTTGCATCTTTGCTAGTTCCTTTTCTGTTGTTCACTGCTGTATGAAGTGCCTCTTTTCCCTTTCATTTTTCTACCTTAGTCATTTAGACTGGAGGCAGGGATAGATGTGCTTTAAGGTTCTTTCTTCTTCCATTGTTTTTAATGCTATTTCTTGGAAATGCAGAAAAACAAAAGCTTCCCATTCCTCCTTCTAAGAGGTTGTATGGACTTCAAACTGTTGTTTTAACTCCACATAAATGGATTTACCAGATACATCATAAGTGTGGGATATGTGCAAGTAGGTTCTAGTGAGCAGAAATGGGCTGTGGTCCAAAGGTATTTGTATGATACAGGTTTCATAACATGCATTACCACTCCCAGCAAAACTGTTTGTTGTGTTGTTTTTTTCAACAGCGCTTTAAATAGAAAATATTTAGGCAGCAATAAACCTCAGAAGGAAATCAGAACTTTTTTGTGCGTGTATTCTGGAGGAGATTGTTACACTTAAAAGAATACAGTATAAAGTTCCACAGAGAAGTATAACTTCGTATTTCCAAACATTTCATTTTAGATGCTTTTTCTACATCAGACTTCTTCATGAAGTTGTATTTATTGGCAGTTAATATGCTTTCTGGGAACAATTACGGGTGCTCATGCCTTGAAGTTGCTTAACAGCTTTTGAGCACGTTCTGTGCATAGCTCAACTTCTCTGTCATACCACAGTTGCCAGCAGTACTGCTTGAAATTTTCACCCATACATTTTATGATTCTGTATTCCAGTCTGTGCTGGAACAGAGTTATATGGGAATGCAGTATTCCTCATACAGTGGTGCTGCTTCTCTTTTTAAAAGCTCTTTTTCTTCCACGCTACCGCTCAGCTCTATATTTATCTGGATGCTATTTGTTTCCAACTACTTCTGAATTTTCAAGGACTTGACCAGTCTCTTTTTTTTAAGAAATAGATTCATGACTGTAATGTACTTTTGTAACATTTCTCTGCCCTGCTGCTGTAGAAAAGATATATTAGGCAGAAAATGGTGCTGGCTTACACTAGTAAATCATGCTTATGACAGACTTAGTCTAAGCAGAGCAGTGCAATGAAGTCGTACTAAACTTACTGAATCTGGGGGATGTAGATTTATTCTGCATTTGTGCAGCTGGTTTAGGCTATTGCAGCACAATAACCTCCCTGTAGCTGTTCAAGAGCATTAAGGGGAGACTTCACAAAGTAGCAGTTTACTTACAGATGATCAAAGGAACTGCTTCACGTGGTTGCAAACCTGTTGTCATAAAAAATAGTTCAGATTTGAATCTGCACTCTGTTAGAGACACTCTGTTGTTAGTGTGGTAAGATTTTGTGTGTCTTTAAATTTTTGAGGATATTTGGAATTTACAGCTTTGTGTACCAAGTTATTGTTTGTTAGAAGCCAGAGCACTATTGTATGGCTAAAGCAAGGAAACAAAGTGAAGGGGGGCTGGGAAGAAGGGGAGGGAGAGATTTTAATTTTGTTAATTGGTGTCCATTTAGAAGAATGTACAGGGAAACATTACAGAGGTGGTGGGTTTTTAGTGAACTCTAGGAAACCATACTTCCAGCATTTTCTCTTAGACCTTTTTAACAAGTATAGGGGGTGTTGTTTTTAACCTAAAAGAGATGCGCCCAATCTCATTTTTATTATTCCCTATGTGATTTTCTTGGGGCTTACAGTTGTTCGAATTTGCACAGTTAGACTCCAAAGCCAACTAGACATTTGTTGTGTACCCCAGACCTCTTTCACTTGCACTGGAGTGAGTAAAGGAATTAGGTTTTCAGAAATTCAGATCCTTATCTGTTCAGATCTCTTTAACTGTCATATTGTTTAATTCTGAGTTGTTCTGAATTGATAAAATACTTGATTTGACAAATTTACAAAGTGTACAGTCTGAGCTGGTTGTTATAGTCATACCTGAATTACGGTGTCGTGCTTTGGAATTTCATTGCCTAAAAATATTTTAAATCTAGTTTGGAAAATGTCATTTTTTTTCAAAGCTGTTCTCAGCCCATTTTACTTGCCACTGTGTAACTTAACTTTTCCACATGACTACATTTGAAATGAAAATAGGAAAGCTCAGATAGGGAAATAGGTGCTTCAAGTTAAGTGTCCCACTAAGAAATAATTTCTTTAGAGATTGTCTAAGCAGTGTTTGCCTTACAAAATAGTTCAGAGGGTAATAGTAAGCTTGACTGAAGAACTGTGATAGCAAATACTGTTCATAGTGAAAAAGTGAAGCAGATCTGCTAGCAAGATATCTCAACTTCACTCTCCTTCTCAGAGATAGTATTTGAGGAATATTACAATCTGGATTGCAAACAGCTTGGGAGTAGGTGGCATAAATTCATCACCGAGTAATGTAATGTAATCTAAGGATAAAACAAGAGATCTGGGTAAGAAGCCACATCAGGCTTTCTTTTTGTTAAAAATACTTCAATATTTCATGCCCTACTGGAGCTTGGAAAACAAAGAGTTACCACAGACGTAGCACTGCTGCTCTCCAGGAGCTGCTTTGCTAGTAACTAACTGCAAGACTTCCATGTCTGTTGTGATCAAGATGGGACTTTCAGGGAATCAATTATAGTTGAGTATTAACCCATTCACAGCAGCTGTTTTCTGAAGTGTGTTCTTTAAATAGAGTTGGTGTTAGGAGTGGTTGGAAACTTTCCTGGGCCTGGCAAAGAATAAGTAGCATAAGGTTCAACATGAGTAAGGAAATCCAGGAGACCTATGGAACTAATATGGTTTAAAAAAAAAAATAAAATGAAGGATGTTTCCAGCTAGAAAAGTCTTTATCTCTGAACCAAAAGACAACTTGGTATTCAGTCACTTAGTTTTCACCCACTTCCTTTTGCATATGCCAGTAAGAAACTTTGCATTACTGTAAATTTTTTTAGAGGTTTGTAAATATGTAAAATGAAGCCAAAATATGGAGTATTTGTGTACCAAAATGGTATAAAATGTGTAAGATAAATGCTCTGTTTAATAAGAAGCTGTAAATTAAATGCTGCTTTGACAAAGCGTGCATGGGGACATGTTAAATATTGTGTTCAGAGGTTGTATTAAGGACAGCAAATTGTCTGTTATGTTGGAAAGCTTCATTCTAGTCTTGAGTACAAACCAAAAAATACCACTTCAAGCAAAAGTTGAGTATTGAGTTTCTTGGAAGACTTCATGTGCATAATCATTGTTAAATATGTTCATAATAAAGTTTTATATCTTTATGTTGTACCTTGGTTTTATTTTCCTTCTATTGCATGATTACCTACCCTTTTCACTTCTTGTGTATTTTGTGTATATTTAAACTTGGTTACTTGGATTGGAGCCAGGAGGTTGTGTTTGCACACATTAACGAGGGAATTTTGGTGGGTTGTTTGCAGACAGCCTGAGTTGACAGATCCTGAAACGTTCCATACAGCCTCCTAACCATAAGGAAATGCATATCTCTCTCACTTTCATAATTAGACAACTGTCTGTCTTGTGAACACTTCATAAATAAGACAGCGTGTTAACCAGCAGCATTATAGTTGATAGTATATCAGAACTCAGTGTCTTTTTGATCAGAAAAATAAAACTTTGTATGCTTAAGACTTAGCGTACTAAATGCATCAGTGAGCGACCTCTTACATACAGCTTGCTAAGCACTTCTAGAATGCAAAAAACTTGCCTTTTTTAACTGAAGGCATTTCTTTCTGTTACTCTTCTGTGCATTAAGTGCAGTATAAGGAGATTAAACAGGTCCCAAAAAAATGCAACCAAGTTACTTTCCCATAGATGTTTCATTTTGAAATATGTTTAAGTGAGTTGTCTGATACATATTTAAACTATACTGAAGCAAGGTAACAGAAGTGAAACTCTTAGAAATTCCAACAGGCTTAACTTTAAACAAGCCACACCACTGGTTATGAATTTCAATAATTTAATGCTAACCAAGAGTACAAAGTATGAAAGTTGGTGTCTTATTTAATTTGGTTTTAAAAAAGAAATCTAGAGAACATTTACGCTGCAGCAGATTCAGTACTAGCACCTTGAAGAGAAGTTCTTGAAGTTTTAAGACAGCGTGGTAACACTGGTACAATAGTAAAAATACAAACACAAACCATGTAACAGCATGTTTTCACATTTGAAAAGAGTTACAGAAAAAGTATTCATTAAAACTGGAAGTTGTTCAGTGCATTCACAGTTTGAGCAGAGATGGAATCAAGTGCCAGAGTAGAAGAGAACTGAAGTACAACTGATTCCAAGGCAATCATATTGCGAGTCCAAAGGCACTGACAATACAGTACATGGTCTTGTTCTCCCATCTCACAGTGCAGGTTCCTACAAATACAAGACAAAGCTTTCAGAGACAGAACAAGGTTACAGTGGCTTAATATTAAAATACATGCTTCTATGTGCATGTTTATTCATTGTTTAAGAACCTTACGAATGAAGCTTTCGCAACAGCTAAGCATCCCATGTTACCATTTATTAGTCACAATGACAGCAATGTGGAAAAAATACAAAACCATGCTACTACTCCAAAACTACAGCACTCAGAAAACTAAAATAAATAAATAAAAATCTACGTTGCTTAGTTTCAGGAGGATTAGTATTAAAGTTGCAAGCTGAATCATCCGGCAGCGTTGCTCCTTACCATCACTGGAGTTGTCCCAGAAGCAAGAGCTTGCTGTATGTAGCCCAGCGCCATTCTTCTGCATAATCACACAGGTCACTGTTTGTCAGTAGAAAAGCTTTTATTAATGTATTGCTATCACTGATATTTAGCTACACTTATGCTCATTATAGCACATGTATATATATACACACACATAAAACAGACATGCTTCCAGCTAAACTGTGTTTAGTTAAATTTCAGTGTGTCGCTGTACCAGCTTTATCAGAAAACAGAAAGTTGAGCTCACCAATATACTTGAAAGGTTTCCCCAGCTTGGTGAGCTGGCTTAGAGATTGTTCCACCACACTTGTTGTCCACTGGTTCACCTTGCTGTGCTGGTAGGCGTTGCCACCTATTGCACTTTCTATGGCCTATGGGCAACAAACACAGAAGTTACACTGCTGTCAGTCTAGAAAGATCCCATTAACTCATCTGAATGCAGAACACTGAGGGTGAGACAGCACATGCACAGTAGTCCTGAATACTGTTCGGGATTGTTGGAAGTGTTTTAAAACGCTACAGAACTTGCAATTCAGAGTTTGAAGCACATACAGAAATTGTAGTCGTATATTCCTTCCTCCTCATTTTGTGCTATCTTTATTCTTCATTACTAATTCCTATCCCAATGTCCTGGAGCCTTAGTTATGAAAAGGGTATCACATTTAAACAGTCCTGAAAAAAAAACACATAACAGCAGCTCATACACAGATGTTAATCTGCGGAAATAACGTATGGAGTTTTCAGCAGTCATTTTTGGGAACAAGGACCAAAATCAAAACAAAAGACTCATGTAATTTTTGGTGACTAATAGAGCAGAAGCCGTTAGCCAAGCAATCTGGTTTACTTATGAGGAAAGCTTCTCCTTTAAGACACAAATAAAACTACATTAAAGTTGCACATTTTTCATCACTACGTTTTTCTGGCAGAAACCGTTCAAGAAGTAACTACAAAAGTACTTCAGATTCAGATGAGACAGGACTGTGTAGCAGAGCATGCCCACCCCACTTACAGACCTGCCTGCTATGCAAGAGGAAGCAGACACGAAAAACAAACCTCTTCTTAGCAACAAGAATTAGTTTCCTAGCAACAAGAATTAGTTCGATCATCTCAAACAAACTTCATTCTGGAGGAAAAGCACCTCAAAAGGACACAGTAACATGTATATGAAGATAATCTATATGAAATGTTGTATGTTAATGAAACATAACATCTGTCTGACAGGTTTTAATGTACAGCATCCACCTAGAAATTCTAATTAGGGATACACTGCAACCAAAAAGAAGTATATAAAATTATTTTCATTATCTTTTGAACTTGTAATACATATCACAACTAAGGCTAGGTATCATTTCCACTTAAACAGTTAAATTAATCCATGATTACCTACGCCTCAATAATAGCCTAACTAATGTGTAATAGAATTCCAGACAACAGATTTCCTTGAATGCTTTTTAGCACGCAACACAGCATACTTTTATACCAAAGTGAGAATATTAGCTTACCTCTTTAATGATGTTACTGACTTCATCAACGACAAAAGATGTCTACAAAAAAAAAAAAAAAAAGAGAGAACTTTAAATCATCACTGAGCACATTTCTATGTACACAGTTCAAACACTGTTAAGGAAATACACTAGGAGCTTAATTTATGCTTGTCAGGTTTCTTGTGAGCCAGATGCAGAGTCTGGCATAGCTCATCATTACTCAACCTCCACAAACCCAGTCAAGGGAACATTCTTAGCAAAGTAATCAAAAGTAAAAGGTGAACTAACACTGACATTGGGTTAAAGCTCCCAAATTTTAATTTGAAAACATCATAAAGTAACACATACAGCATATCTGTCCATATATAAGCCTGTTTTACAGTAAGCATTAATGTCTGTGGCTCACAGAACAGGCTGCAGACAGCCTCAGTGTGCAGACACGGCTTACAGTTGAATGAAACCGACATCTTCAGAGCACTGGTGCAGACCAAGCATCGACTCACAGCTCAAGGAGGAGCTGTTGTGACAGTTTCAGCCAGCAATATGAAGAAAGATGCCGTTTGGAAACCAAAAGGGAAATCTACTCTTTGAAAAGGTGGATAACTGCAGGACAAGGGGAAATGGTTTTAAGTTGAGAGAGGAAAGATTTAGGTTGGATGTCAGGGGGAAATTCTTTACAGAGAGAGTGGTGAGGTGCTGTAACTGGCTGCCCAGAGAGTTGTGGATGTCCCGTCCCTGGAGGTGTTCAAGGCCAGATTGGATGGGGCCCTGGGCAGCCTGGTCTAGTATTAAATGGGGAGGTTGGTGGCCCTGCATGTGGCAGGGGGGTTGCAGATTCATGATCCTTGAGCTCCCTTCCAACCCTGGCCATTCTGCGATAGTGTCTGTGTTCCCCACCCTCTTCAGCCCTCTCTCAAGCTCCAGGAGGTAGAGATAAAACGAGTGGCATTCGAGCATCTCAAGAGATGGGGCAGCCCCACCTGCGCAGACAGCAACCAGGACAAAGCCGCGCCAATCCGACACACCTCCATCCCTACAGCTGTTTTGCTATTGTCTGACACAGTCACCGCGGACTTGCCCAAGAACAATGCAGCGAGTCGTCACGCTCAAACACCGGCCCTCAGCAGAGCAGCACAGCAGGCGCTGCACACAGGCAGGACCCCGCTCCCACCCTCCGCTGCCCGGCACGCAGCCTCCGCCGGCATCGCCCGGCCCCAGGGGCTCCCAGCGGCCCGGGGCGTTCCGAGGGGTGAACGCGAGACCTTCCGCCGACCCGCAGCCTCCTGAAAGAAGACGCTGGAGCGACCCCGACGCCACCCTACCCCCTGACGTTACCTCCTCCCCCGCCTGGAAGTCGTCCATCGTCCCGCCGCAGCCCCTCACGCCGTAACAACCCTCTCGGCACCGCCCCGCTCTCCACCACGCGCCTCGCACTGCGCATGCGCGGCCGCTTCCCGCTTGCCCTCGCTACGTTAGTCAGCTCTGCGCCTGCGCGTCTGGCGCCAGTCCACGCTCGGGAGCAGCGCAGGCGGGCGTCCCCCAGATCGTACGGCCGGTACTGCGCCTGCGCGCTACGCCGGCTTGCGCGGCGCGTGCTGTGCGTCTCGGGCGCGTAGCAACGGGGAGCGCTGCGTCAGCTGCAGCTACCGGCTGGTTGGGTTCTGCGCCCCCAGGGTGGCGCGGTTTCCATAGCGACCGCACGAGGTCTGGGCGGGGAGATTGCTGTGGTGTTCGTGCCCATAGCGGGCGGTTGGCGTTCAAGTCTGATCCGAGAGATCGTTTAGAATGACTCATAGAATCATAGAATGGCCTGGGTTGAAAAGGACCACAATGATCACGTAGTTTCAACCTCCCTGCTATGTTCAGGGTCACCAACCACCAGACCAGGCTGCCCAGAGCCACATCCAGCCTGAATGCCTCCAGGGATGGGGCATCCACAACCTCCTTGGGCAACCTGTTCCAGTGCGTCACCACCCTAAAAGTCCTGACCTGACAAAGGCATTCAGAACCCTGGTTTTAGAAACAAAGCTTAAAAAGAAGACCTGATGTGTTGTATATGTTCAGGAACTGGGAGAAAAAAAAACAAAGAAACAAACAAACAAACAAAAAAAAAACACAACACAAACAGGGAAGACTTAAGGAATCGGTATATTCTGATGGTTTTAAGCCCTGTGCACGCAGGTTAGGAGTTGTAGTCTTGAGGCCCTGAGGGCACAGGTGGGTTTCAGCTGCACTGATTGCCGCAGCCGTGCCCTCTGCTGCAGGCTTGTCTCTGGGGTGTGCCTCAGTTCTGCATCCCAAACCTATGTCAGACCCCATCTCCTGCTGCTTCTGACCAGCATCTCAGGATGAACCCAACCTCCTCCTCTCAGCCAGCAGAGATCCAGCATCTGGGATAATGAAGCATGAAAGAGATTTTTAGGGTGGGTTGCAAAGTTCTCCTCAGTGGAAATCTCCAAGAGCAATTTAGATAATTATTTTTGCCCTGCTCTGGTAGGTGTATTGATGTTGGCCTCAGGTGTAGCTTCATGGCTTTGTTCCTCCAGCCTGGCTTAATGAGCCTCCTACTGATGGTAGTTACACTCCGTGGTTTATTTTATTTAGTAAAAGTTTTGCTCAAAACAAAGGCTCAGATTATCCGTGCGTTCTTTGTTTGGCTTAGCTCTGTGCCTTGCTAGCTGTTGCTGTCTCTTGAGCAATACAGTTGAACATGATTAGGCTCAATGAGCACAGGTGGAAATACTTGAACCTACCAAATTTTAAGGAGTTTACAAGGTTGCAGGTGGATTCATTTTGCCACAGGAGTAGAATTGCAGTGCTTGATTTAATTTTAACTAAAACCAGTATTTCTTCTAACACCCAGAATGCTAAGTAGGGTTTCTATTGTCTACGTATGTTTTATCTGCTAGAGTCAATTTATAAGAAAGGGCTTTCCAGGTAAATTTCCAGACTTCTAAATAAATTAGATTCAATTTGAAATTTCATTGCTTCTGCTTGTTTCTGTAATAGAGTGAACTGAGATATCTAATCCAAATAGAACTCTACCTGTTAGCTTAAATCAGGTTTGTTTATTGTAGGCAGACTGATTTTCTGGTTTTACTAGATCTGTAAAAATGAATTATTTTGATCTGTCTGCTTTTCTCTCTATGCTTCTATTAATTGCTTTGCCATTCAGGGCTGAATATTGTGTTTTGAAGGAAGAACTGCCTATGATACGAGCCGTGTTTTCTGTGTGAGTTCTGGGGACATTGAGGTTAGTAGTATTTTCACATTTATGGTATCAGACGAAGAAATTACGTGGAACTCAGAACTACTTCTCTTCCTGCGTGTGGCTTGGACACCAAGTCTATTTTGCTGTTATCAGTCAGCTTTTGTGTTCTGTTGTGCAGGTCTCTTTTTTGATGTTAGGAAGATGACTAACTTCTCTTTGATTGATTGTTGCTGGTGACAAAACCAGAGACTGCAAAAACTGTTACAACGCTGGGAACTCTTTGATTGCTTCTGTTTTGAGAATGCTCTTCTGTACGTGCTTTGGTCTAATTTAGTGGAAGGCAACTACTGATTTTCTTTCAGGGAAGATAAGTAAATAGCAGGAGTACTAGTCATCTCTTAAAGCATTTTAGTTCCGTACATCTTCCTTTGATGGCTGTTGAAAAGGTAAGGACAGCTTTTTTTTTTTTTTAAACTGTTCTATATGGCACTACACAAAGGAATGCATTTTTACTTATTGACATAGCATTGTTTTGACTGTAAAGGTTTTGTGGGAAGGCCACGATTGCAACTTAAAGTACCATCTTTTTACATTAGCTGTTGAGGTGGGATTATTAAAATCACAAGACATAGGTCTGATAATACATATGTATTGTATGCACACTTCCAGGTTAATATATTAATATAAGGATGTGAAAATTGAATTGTTGTACGGTTATATGAAATAACACTTTTAATGTTCTTGATTAAGAATAAATGTATGGTATCTATAAAACGTGAAACAGCTGTATGTTCCAGTAACTTTTGTGATGATAATCTTTATTCTGATACTCTTCAAACTGTGTCTTAGCTACTGGTGTAAGATGCCTACCTTTTGGGTTAATTAACAAAATTATCCAACTATTTCAGGTTAGTGAAGGCTCTAGCTTAAGAGGATCACTTTAACTGTACTTATTTAGGTATCTTTATTTCACTAATGCTGAGGAATCTGAAAGAAGATCAATAATACATCAATGCAAAATTGCTTTGAGAGAAAGTAGCTTTCCAGGTCAAGCATTTGTAAGCTTAAAATTGTATCAAATACGGTACTTCTTGCAAACTGTAATTTGTGTTGTGTAGGCCTTTTGATTAAGTTTCAGCTGTGTACTGTTTTATCTTGATTGTAAAGAAAAAAAGCAAATTCTTCTGAGAGTGCACTGTATGCATGCACACCTTCTTCTACTACGATGTGACCATGTTGGTTCTCTAATCTCCTTTATGGTAGGCTGTCACACTTTTATCAAAAAGCTATTCTACAATCTGCCTGCTGCTAAATTTTCTTAAGTGTGTTATTTAAGATTATGTGGAGAAAAAATGTATGAGCTTTATGCTGAGGGGGCAGAAGTATCATGGTATTTAATCACCGGGTTGCTGTTACTTTTGGTTTTACGCAGAAGGTGCTTGGTTTTGTGAGCTTAGCTGACTGTGTAAGATGGATAGATTTGATGGGTAAATATGAAAGTAGAGCATCGGTGGAGGTTTTGTTTTTTCCTGTAATGACCCTCCTTGCACGGTAAAAGTAACATTAATGCTATTAAAAAACAAATGTAGTGCAAACAGCTTCAGTGTTAGAAAAGCTCTTCTTTTACAGTGGTGGTGAGCTTTTCAGTCCACCTTGAATGCTTCCTGGAAATGTTTAAGGATCAAATCTGTTGTGAGGCACGAGGATAATTCCATTCAGAAGGAGGACCCCATAGTATACACAAGGTTTCAAATTATTTTTAAGTGCAAAAAATCTGATGGAGCATAATGGCTACCTGAGGTAAAATCTTCACTAAGATGAAAAAAATAGTTGCACTACTCATAGAACTCCTGGCTCTGTGCTGGATTTTATCTTTATTCTCTGTAGCATATGATGATCTTGCCTAGCAGTGAGAGCCAGGGAGGCTTTTTGTCTGCACAGTGCAGATGCTGTTAGACACAGGGCCCCTGGCGCTTCTCTCTGCAGTACATCTGTTCTGCTTTTTGGTGTCAGAAGATGATCCTAGCCCCTTTTGGTTCTATGCTGCTGGCAGGCGATACAGTGCTTACAAGATCTATCACTGTGAATGGAATTTGAAGTGTAGCAATAGACCAGCTGGTGTGAGAGATTGATGGTTATGATATCGCCAATGGACTGAGGAAGTCTTTTTGAGGAATCTTGATGTTCCTCCTGGAGAGTGTAGCTGTGGGAATGACAGTGTGGTAAGTAGCAAGGCTCCAAGCTATTCCTTCCCTTGTGCTGTTTAGATTTGCATAGGCTTGAACAGCTGAAAATACAGATTTTAAAGAAATATTAAGGGCGCACAGAATCTTTCATTATTTTTATAGTTTTTCTTGTGAAGATGTCATTTGAAATCCATTTCCCAATATAGGCTTGAAATATGGAAAACTTTCTCCTTTTCTGTGGGGAAGGAGTTGGTCCTTCATTAAAGATACCAAGCAGTGACTAATTCTGTGCTTTCTTAAAAGCAGATGTTGCTCCTTGTAACTGTTGCACACCGGGGTGTTCTTAGTAGCTCAGTAAGACACTTCTGTGTTTTCATTAAGATCACTGGAGCAGTTTTATTTGATGTTCCCCCTACCAATGGCTGTCATGAATTTGCATGCTTATTCTGATGTTTCAGCAGGATATTCTGATGACATTGTAAATAGGGCAGCCTTAGGGCTTTCTATAAACTCCCAGGAATTCCAGTTTTTGGATGCTCTAATGGCTGTTTCACTGTCCTATATAACGCAGATCTCCCTGAGTCTGACTGCTCTTTCAGATTGTATTGACTTAAACAGCACCAAAGGCTCTGGGCATCAGTCAATCCTTGGTCATATCCTCGAGGTGAAAGATTAAAGCAGGTGAGGGCAGCAGGGACCTTTGAAAACAGCATGTTAAAAGAATTGCTTTTTAGGTTTGAACTGAGTAATATCCTGTGAAATTGCACTTGCTAAGGAAATAAAATGTGATTATGCCTATCTCTGTCTCTTTTGTTTCCACAGGAAGCCAGTCTATTTTTCTTTTTTAACTCTTCTGTGAAACGCTTTGTCTTTTTGGTGTCTGTTGAAGAGTGTCATGAAAAAAATATAAAAGAATGGCTGTTTATGTTTAGAAGTTAGCACCTGCATTTTTTGCTTGTGTGACGTTATGTAGTTCAGTCGTGGCAAGCTGTGTGTCAACTAATTCCCCATGACTTCAAAAATTCATTGTCACTCATACAGCTGAAGATTTTTCTTTTAACCTGGAAACTCTCATAATAGCTTAAAATAATGTTCCATTTGGTTGGATTCTCAGCTGAAATGTGTCAGTGAAATATCTCTAACTGTTTCAGTGAAGTTTTCCCCTTCTGCCCTAATGGAAAATCTGACTCTGTTCACATTTAGTTCACATGATGTTTGAAGCACTTGACCTGTTTTCACGTATCATCTTTAATATTTGGTGTTTTGTAACTGGAACACACTTACATTTGCTATAATAAGCACTGAATAGTAATATTAAAGATGAATATAATGTGTTAGCTACAATAGATTCAAGAATAACTTTCTCTACTTTGCTACATTAAAATTTTGTTATATTTAGGTAGGAGTTTCACAGAAATAAGATCAGAAAATATATTCAAAATACATTTGTGAATCTGTTTTAATTTTTATACTTCTCATATATTTGTACAGTAATATCATGTTTGGTGCAAAAATGGTTAGTGCACTGAGCTGCAAAGAATACGTATCTTAGTGTTCTGGTGTTTTTTGGTGTTTTTTGTGTATTAACAAAGATAACGTCATTATTGTGTGAAAAATGTCTTATCTAGGCTTAACAGAAGTCAGGTTATTGATAGAAATGACTCTTAAAGGACCTTTCCCATCTTTCGTATAGGCTCATGTTATTTTGTCTGCTCAGTAAGATGAGATTAGAAAGGAGGATTTGTCTCAACCAGTATGACTTGTCCTGTTGTGGGGCCTGTGCTGGAAACTGACTCGAGCTTCTTTACTGGTTGTTTTGCACTGTCTGAAAAACATGGAGATTCATAGCAGAGTGTGCTATGTTGAGGTTTTCTGAAGAATGAGGCTGTCTTAAAATCTCTTTTGTGTCTGACTTTGTGCATGAAAGATCTTGAGTATAGCAAAATGTATTCTCCACAATGTTCACTCATGCTATTGAAATCATTTAAAGAAGTGAGGAGAAGGGATAATAAAACATTATTTTTCTCTCTAGATCCTGAAATCCTGAATCTACAAGACCAAGTGAAGCAAACCATTCTCCCAAATCCTTTATGCTGGCTATCAGTGAATTCTCCCTCCAGTTGGTGGCAGTTGAAGCCATACCTGGGACCTCGCTGCAAGCTCTCATCCCTTTTGGAACCACTCTGCAAAGAGCAAGTTCTTTGAAGTGAAAAAGTCAAGGCTGCTGTGACCTTACTGTTCATATCCCCTGGGTAGCAGGGACACTTAAATGATGCCTTGTGTGAAGACAGACACAGTTATTTTTTTCTTCAAGAGCGTGACGCAGCAAAACCTATCACCAATGGAGTAAGAAGACGGGCAGCACTTGATAAACACTCAGATCTCTGACGAGCCCTATTATATTCTCTAACGTAGTATCCATTGTTTTGGATGTGGTAGAGCAATAAGTCAGCAGTTGTGAAGTTTGGGGAAAATGGCCTGTGAATTTAATCTAAACTTCCTTAAGGAATTGGAGCGAGAGGTTGTTCTGGAAGTCCTGTACCGTGACCAGATGGTGAGAAAAACAGAGGAAGAAAGAGTAAGGTACTTGTCTTTCCTCTCTTTGTGTATTGCTGTTCTTTTTCTTTCTCAGGAGTGCTTTTCTTCTTCTTTGCTGTCATTCCCCACTTATTCCTTCTTTTGTTTCTTGTTAGCTAGTAAGTTTTAATTCTGTGGGAAAACCAGGAGTTAACTGGAGCCTCTTGGATTTATCGCACTACTGACTACATTAAAGATGAGCAAATGCTGTTCAGGGAGTAATCTACTTAGTGAACTTTACTTAACATTTATAGACGGTTCAGCTGGTGCCTCTATTTCTTCCCCGGTGAAGGCTTTATGACATTCTTATCACGTTCCTACGTATGCCTGTATAGCCCTGATAATGCAGAACACATTCAGATCTATGGCTGGCTAATTTAACCTCTGTTGAGCCAGGACTAAAGTTAAAGATTGTCAGATACCTCCTTACTGTGCTGCATCCATCTCTGCTCCTTCTCATATATAACCGATAACAAGAGCGCTGCGCTTTCTCAGTGGATGTTGATAGGTGTCATTGGTTAGAAAAAGGATTTTGTGTAATGATTTCACGCTATACAAGTATCCCAGTTGTAAGGGATAATCCTTCAGCAGTTCATTTGCTTTGTATTAGGGATTGTGTAAGGATTTCCTTGTAGCTTGCTTTGCCACGTTGCTTCCTCATGTAAAACATGGTGTTTGTATTGCTAAGTTAGAAGGTTTAAGTCTCTTAATAAATTATAGACACTTAAACTTTGTTTGCTGCAAACATTTATGTGAGTATACCTGGACTTGTTAAATGATTATGAAAAATAAAGGGTTATTAAAAATCTGAATTGATTAGAAAGCCATTGACAACTATTGGTGAAGTAGCTAACAATGAGAAACAGATCTTGTCTCTTGTTGCTTGTTATGGAAACAAGGTTAATGGGAGAGGTTTAGATGTTTAGGTCAGATGTGGTTTTGGTTGACCTCCAGGAGATGCATTTGTTACTATTATTTAATAGAAGATTTGATTCTTCTAATCAAGTAATCTTAATATATTAACAACTGTTGTCATAATATCATCAATAAACATTGTGCCTCCCTGGAAGCATTCAAGGCCAGGCAGGATGTGGCTCTGGGCATCCTGGCCTAGAGGTTGGTGATGCTGCACATAGCAGGGGGATTGAAACTAGATGATTGTTGTGGTCCTTTTCAGCCCAGGTCATTCTATGATTCAATGATCATCAAAAGGGAGTGCAGTTTAGACTAAATTTTTGTATGTGAGCATGTGATCACTTGTACACCTAATTTCAGTGCCCTATCCTGAGTGGATAAAGTTGATGTGAACGGAACCCCATTTATATTAGGCTGTTATCCTATATGTAGCTTTGTGGTTGTATGTATAGTGCAAAAAATGCACAGAATCACAGAATGCACTGTGTGTATGGATGCCTTCAGACAAAATTTGGATTAAGGTCACACTTAAGGCTGTATCTCTGACTGTCAGTGATGTTGTGCAACCAGGTCATCAGCTTGTAACTTGCACTGTTGCTTTTTCTTCCCCTTCTTTCCTTTTTGACCTGAATGATTAGGAAACTGAAAATGCAGCTGCACCAGCTTCGATGGAAAGGGGCAAGAAATGTAAGCCATGAATACCGGGAGAGGTCTTGTGCTCGCTGCCAGAAATCCCTTGGATTGCTGCTGAACAGAGGTGCGGTGTGCAATGGGTGCAGTCATCGAGTGTGCTCTGAATGCCGTGTCTGCCTGAATCCCTCCCTTTGGAAATGTACCGTTTGTTATGCTCATGGGTAAGGAATGTTAATGGTTTTGGGAAGTTGTTGACTACGCTGGTTTGGTTTGCATTGGCTTTCAATACTGGATGCTCACCATTTTTGTGTGTTTATTGCTTTAAACAGATAATAAACCAAAGCCTTTGGCAGGAAGGAATGAATGAATATGTTGGGTGAAGACCAGAGGAATTAATAGCAATTTTGTCCTGTACTTCATGGAGTCAGAAGTCCTTTTCTGCATTTAGCAAAATGCATTTTCAGAATAGGCCAGAGGTGGTGTCGTCTCCCTTGCAAAGATGTTAATTGCAAAAAAACAGAACAGTCTTAGTATCTGAACTCTAGATGGCACTCTAGTCAATAGATGTCCCCGAGTCAATACTGAAGTGGTGCATCTGAATGGGTTCCGCGTAGTATAGCAAATTTCTTGACTTTTTTGATCATCATTATTTTTTTTGCTGGTTTCTCTTTTTTTTTTTTTTGCCTCATACTACTGAGATGAGGAACCTAGATGAGTAGTGTGAAATCATGTTTTGTATGTATTTAACATCATTGCGTTTTATCAGGAGCTCCTTAAACACAGTCAGAGCAGAGATCCAGGTTTGGTTACGCTGAAATTGTTATTTACTTATTTTGCTCTGTCACCTTGGTTTTGTTTTCCTGAAAAAGGGAAATAATCAATTTTTATATCAAAACATTCCCTCACAGTTCCTTCTATTAATCAGAATCTTCCTAAATCAAATGGTTTAGATATATTTTCACCCTGGATTGAACAAGAAATTAATCTATAAGTAAAGGGAGAGTCTTGAAAAAGAGTCAACAACTCTGCTGGTTGATATAAACCCCTGTATGAAGGGTAAGCATTTGGGTGAAATTTTACTATATGCCAACACAAGACTAATGCATCACCTCACTCCCTCTTAAGATGAGGTTTATGAGGTTTAAATGATGACTGAAAAATGTGAGAGAAGGTATTAGTCATAAACTGAATTAATTTCTAATTGTAGTTTAAAGTCATTTTCTGTGTTCTGGAAGAGACTGTAAACCATCACTTAAATGGTGCTCCCTGAATCCTCAGTTTATTTTGCAATTTACACATAAGATAAATCAACCCCTCCTGTATTTAGTACAAAGCAGTTGCTAAATTTTGATGTGTTTCACTGTCTGTGCTTAATGCTATGAATGCTAAAAAATAGAGGCTTAAAAAGTTAACTGTATGTATCCCTGTCTAGATTTGCCCCCCTTCCCCACTTTCTCTTTTTATTTAAATTAGTTTCCAGTTTTTTGGTAGCTACAGTGGAAATCCCCTCTAGATAGCAGCTAGTTACCAAAGTGCCTTGTTATAGTACTGTGCATCCTTAATTATTTCATAAGGTTGTCCAGACATTTAGTGGTCAAAATGGGAAAGCATTGTCTAAATGGATTAAAATATATTCTGACTTTTTATGAGGAAATTTTATTTTTTTTTGTCTTGCTGATACAGAGGGGTTCTTCTGTGAATTTTGCATTATAATAAAAAAAAAAAAAGTACAGAATTTACATTCGGTCTTATTTAATCGTGGTGCAAAGTTCATTCAAACAGTCTCCTTCAGTTACCTTCAGTGAGCCTTGTATCAAGGCTGCAAATCTTAGAGAACGCAGCTGTGTTGTAAGTACTAGTCAGCACCTTCTGCTTATTCTGGTGAGAGGAAGAACGACAACTAAGAAATGGAAGTGCTGATTTTCAAATCCTGAGTGGCCATAACTTTAAATCTTGTGTACCACAAGAGTAATAAGTAATAGAAGAGTTCTGCAGCTTCAAAATTGATGTATCTCATAGAAGTGACTGAAAATGCCAAGTCAGGTAGTGCTTGCACTGGGGTCAAGAGGGCTGAATCCGTGCTGTGCCACCTTCCTTCTACATGTACCTAGAGAATACAGTACAGTGTGGAAAATGATTGGTCCAGGGATTTTGTTTCCTGACCTTCATGGATGTCAGTATAGCTCTTGTGTTTAGAGATTCATGCTTTTCTACACAGGCAAGCCTCTACATCAATTTACTGTCTGTATACTGGCTGCCAACTCTGCAAACTTTCAAGGAAGTTTGGCAGAGGGGATGGTAACAGATCTTAATTTCGAAGAAGGAAAATTAACTACTGGGTAGAAAATAGAGTTTACCAATACTTGCACTGAGGAAACTTTTTCAGTGGAACTTCATAATATGCATCCCAAAATCCACATGGAGCTGAGATGTATGGTATGACCTAACATCTTGGAAGACATTTAGATGAGAATTTGTACCTTAAGGCTCCAGAGGATTCTCAGTTAAACATTTTTTTTTTAACCTTTTTAATAATGGATGGGTTCACATTGCGGACTTTGTCTAATTCAGTTGTAAACTACAAAATGCAGGAGTCAAGCCTGCTGAAATTCTGCTCTTGACAGCTATTTAATCTGACATAATCTTATATACGTTCATCACTATCTTTCTAATACTGTGATCCACATACCTACGAATCACACTACCATCACTGATATTAGTCTCTTCAAAATGAAGAGAAATGGGCTACAAATCCATCATTCTATTATAGAAGAGAAGAAAGACTGTTTTCTATCCTGCTTCAGAGTTGCTGAATTCAGTGTGTACCTAGTAACTATCCCAAGTTGTGCTCAGGAACGTTTCCTGTCATTGATTCTTTTCATCTTGCAAGGCTGCACAAGTGCCTGGAGATATATTGCAAATAGTTTGTATAAGCTGGAATGAACTAGGATTCCCTGCTTTAGAGCAGAACTGATTGCTTTTGGTGAGTTGTTCTATGTAGCAAAAATGAGGAGAATAAGAAAGAAGAGAGAAGTCATTTGTTTGCAAATCCACAAAGTCAGTTGGTGTGAGCAGTCCTGAAGTCTTAGGATTAAGAAGGACTGTTGAATTGTTTAAGTAGTTATTAAACAGTTAGAGAAATGCATTTCTTGGAAAATGTTGATTCAAATGTCTTTTTCTTGTTTTTCAGAGATGTGAAAGTAAAGGCTGGTGAATGGTTCTTTGAGGAACGAGCAAAGAGATATCCAGATGAAGGTAATCACTGGAACAAGCCATGCTGTGCAATTTGTAGTTCTTATCTAAGTGAAACACAGAACGTAGTCTACCACCGTATTTACTGCTTCAAACATTTGGTGGAAGATCTCTCAAGCATTATCTTGCCTTGTTTGTCTATGTGCTAAATGAGGCATAAGCACAAGCTAGCAGGAAATGCTTGAAAGTATAATTTATTTTGTGTGACTAATGAAAATAAGAAAATTATTGGCCATACCAATTTGAATTGATGAGCACTTAAGGCTACTAAGAAATACAATGACACATGAAATAAATCTGGAACTGTTAAAATCTGTGTGCAGGAAAGAAATGATCTTGCATCCATTGTTTGTCTAAGTTAGTTTTTTTATTATTTTCACTAAGTTCCACTCCATCATTCCTTGTAAGTTTTGAAATAATGAAAAACATGTGGCTATAAATCAACAAAGGGCTAAAAACACCAGCTGTTTCTTTACTTTCAGCCAGCTGTGCGATTGCCTTCTGTTCAATCTTTTCAGTGTGATTAAAAATACAAAGCATTAAAAGAAGTTATAGAGGATGTGGATGGATTGCCCTGTGGCAAATGTGATTCACAAACCAAGGGGCTGTTGGTCTTCTTTTTTCACCCACAGTGACTAGTAAGGTGGAAAGGATTTCCTTCATCTTTCCTTGAAGCTCCTCTTCAGATAGGTGACTGTTTCCCTTTGTGCCTGTTCCTTCATATTACAGTTTCTTTTCCAGTATTGTATCTTATCTAGGTTATCCCTATCTAGATAAGAGTAGCTGGTAAAAAGGAAAGTGCTTGAATATCTGTTGCTAGACCTGAATTGAAAGAAATGGATAAATGGAAGAATATAATCAGGCAAATTTTGAGCAGTATTCACCAAATAGTGGTTCTAGGAAATTGATCTATGGTGTCTGCTGAGACAATTAAAACAAACAAAAAATTGATTCCGTTTTAGCTAAGACAATTTCTGATTTTACAGTGTTAGTTGAGCAGTTGTTTAAAGCGCAGTTGTATTCTGTGTCCATTATTAATAATTTTCCCTCATATTCTTTTCAGAAAGTCTGTAGCTGGTAATTTTAATAATCAGTTGAGAAATCATATCTTTTCCTCAGAAACAAATCTGATTTTGCAAGATACTGGATGTCCTCACCTTGTGTTGTCAGAGCTTTGTGGGCGCTTTGAAGCATTTTGTTTAGTTAGCCTGACAATAATGTTGTCGAAGTTACAAAATTCTAAGGACGTTCACAAGGTAGTTTTGTTTCCTTTGATTAGACCAGCTGCTGTAGTTAAACGAATTAACAAATGGAAAACTTTCCAACAGCAGCTTAGTTATGTATCCTTCAAGCCTTGAGAGACAGTGCCCCCTTTTGGTTGGATGGTTAAACACGAGTGAAGCATTCTCTATCAACTGAATTTCTTGCAGTGAATTTCTCAGGTTGCAGAATAATATTTAAAAAAAAAAAAAGTTGTATCTGAACTGCTTTCTATTAATTTTGTATAACTTCTACCTAAAAATCATGCTTTCATGTGAAAGTGATAGATTGCCTTTACTGACCAGTCAGTTAAAGGAATCATTTAATGTTACAATAAATCCAGATACTACTTACTAATAATAGAGCATTAAATCTGGAGTTCTGATTGAGATTTGTAACATCAGTAAGTTGGTTATTGTTCCTACCACCACAAGAATGTGTTACTTACCTGTAAGGAATGTAATTAATTATGTTTTCAGCAAAGCATGGGTCACATGATACTGTTCTGCATTGCTATTATTAGGAATGATTAGTGATTAAAACCACTCCAGTAATGTTCATTGCACGCATTTAGCCATTCTTTCTGCTTATGATTGCTCAGGAGCAAACTGCATTTCTATGAGCTTTCACTGTGCCTGGTGGAGCTCTTGCTCCTTGCTGTTCTTAACATCATGGGGCTGCTTATCTGAGGAATGTGACATGGTTGCTATTTTCCCGTGAGGGGAAAAGGGTTTTGTCATTACAGTTCTGTAATAGGAAGGGTGAAAGGAATTATAAGATGGAAGAAATTACCATGTGCCTACTCTTGCGATATACCTTCAAGTTTTACCTAATGTTTGAATGCTATGGTTTAGTTATGTTTTCACGCACCACCAACCTCCTCAGGAGGCTGAGGGCACTTGGCAACTTGAAAATGTCCATTGACATCCTTATGTGATTGTCCTCAGGGTTTGCAAAGAGCATCTCTGAATGCTGAAAAAGGAGAAGGTGAAATTGCAATAAAATTTGTGTTATAGAACAGATTTGTGTGTTGCCTTGCACGTATGTTGATTTGTGAGATGGGGATTGATTTAATTGTGTACACAAACTCCTGTAAATACAGGCTATTTCCTGAAAATAAGCTGACTTATAGTAAGTGCAATGTAGGTATTAATAATTGCAGATGTTGCTAAGTGACTTTTTTTCTCCTTCACAGGCAGGCATGAAACAGCTGGTGCAAAGCTCTTGAAATCTTATCAGAAACTGAGGTAATTCTCGTAAAAGAAGAAATGTTCTGAGGGCACTAAGACTTTGCATAGGAAATAAAGCTGATTTATAACACATGATATCACTTAGTGTTTTTTTATTACAAAGAACAGATTTGGGTATCTTTGGAGTACAAATGATAAAAAATATAGGGAAAAAAATGCACTCTTATATCCTGGCAACCCATAGGAAGGGTCTCAAGTTCAGAAAAAGAGTACTGTTTTTAGAGTAATAGTTTTTATTGATTGGAAATGAAGGAATGTGCAGAATTTTTGTTAGATTTACTTATATCTTTTGTGTACCAATTTTCCTTCTTGTTCAGATTTACCCACTTTTAGTAATTTTTTGCCTCTCATCTTTTAGGTATAAAAGCAATGGCGTTTATATTTGCTCAATGGCAGATTTTGCTGCTTTGATAGCTTTAGAATGAATGTGAGACAAGAAGCTCTATATTCAGGAGAGTGCATCCCTTCTGCTTTATACTAAATAATCCACTGGTGGTTTGAGGCTTAAGCATAAGTGTGCTCAAATTATCATTAGTAATATATAATGGAATAACAATCTATTTTAAATGGTATTGTAGAAAATAAACCCTATTCTTTTTTTATTGTTATTATTTTTAAGCAAGATATGAAGAGATTACATCAGTTTTGAGAACTATCTGGCAAAGCATAGATGTGTGAGACAAAAACTTATAGATAGCTATCTATGGTTCTAACCAGGGCTGCATAAGGACTTGCCTTTGCCTAGATACAGCATATGTGAACAAAAGGAAGTTTGCTGGCTGCCCTTCAGGTCTGTGATTGTGCTGTGAGAACAGTCTGGAGTCAGATTTCTGTATTTATGTATTTACAGACCAGGGATCTTTACAACAGATGAAATGGCTGGAATGCTGTAAAAGGTCTCAAACAGCCCTGGACACAGGCAAGGAAGGATCCTTATAGTATTGTAAATAAAGATAACTGCTTTCTGAAAACATATGTGAAAGAAAAATGGGGCATGTAGCACAGGAATTGTATTTCAGTGCTTGGGACTCAAACAGCAGTGCTGCCAGCCAAAAAAGAAGTCTAGAAAATCTATCCTGAATTACATATTTCCTACTCTATTAAGTTGACAACTCTGCCTAGAGCAGTCCAAGATTGAGGAGAAAGAAAGGCGGACTTAATTCAGTCTTTCTTTGTAATAATTCTTATAAACACAAGCAAAAAGCCTGTCATGCAGAGGGACCTAGATCTTCAGATTTTACAGGAAAGGCAGATAACAAAGATACTGAGAATGTATTTAGCTTATTTTTCAATGTATTAGCATGAGATATTAATTTTTGCACTGTTTTTTGTCTCTTAACTTTCTAGTAAAATTTCTGTTGTACCTCCAACTCCACCTCCTTACACTGAATCCACAGCAGAAAGTAACGCAAAGGTAAATATACACATGTGCAAAATATACATAGATATTCATGCACCTCTCATGCTTCCATTCACATGTAATAGCCAATAGCTAAAGAAATGCAGTAAGCAGTGATAAATGCTGTAACATCATACTGCCATGTAAATTTTCTCTTATGCTGCTTTTTTTTCCCTCGTGCTGCATTGGTAGTAGAAGAAAGGTTAGAGTCTATCATGAGAGATGTTTTCAATTCCAGCTTTTGAGGGAAGTGATTAACCTCCTCTACTTCATGTTTGCATCTGGAGTACTGTATCTGAGTTTTGGGTACTTCACTGAAGAAAAGATGTTGATCAACTGGGAACATGTTTAGCAGGGAGGCACCAAGAAAGCTCAAGCTCAAGCACTTGTCCTGTAGAGAAAAGCTGCTGGACCAGAACTTGTTCAGCCTGGGGCGGAGTTGGCTTTAGTGGATCCTGTAGTGATCTATTTATCACCTGCTGGCTGGGGGTTAGCAAGGTAACAAAGCTGGGCTCTTCTCAGCAGTACATAGCAGGAGGAGGAAACTGTATAACAGCAAATACTTTGTACTTTCTTTCTTACGTTGAACTTTTCCATTTGCAGGAACTTGGACAATCTAAAAGTTTTAATAAATCCGTGGAAAACTTGTTTTTGTCTCTCACAACACACATAAAGAGTAAGTAGCTTTCACTGCTTTGTACTCTAGGATAAAACTGAGCATTTCAATATTTTTTGTCTAAATTGTTGGCCATAAGTCAGTTATAAACAAAGGATATTGACTACTTGCCTATTGCCAAGACTGAGCCAATCAGAAAAATAAAGCAGTAAGCTATGTTACCAGTCAAGAACGAGTTTCTTATAAAGATGCAAGAAGACTGCATGAAGTTATTTTTAAGTTTACTGGATGTTCAAATGGAGTACCTTTAATTCTATATATTTAATTCTATATATATATATTATATATTTCTATATATATATATTATATATTTGTGATAAATATATTAAAGGCATCAATGACCACAGGAAAAATACCTCTGAGTTTTGTGGAGATTACAGGAGCTTGCAGATTTGCATGAGTTTGAATTGACCTTAGTATTTTCCCCTAACTTCATTTTTGACAACTCAAATATGAGATTAGATCTCAATAAATTTGGCTTTAGTATCTTTCTACCTTTCCTCCTAACTCTTATCCTAGCCGCTTTGTGCCATTTCCTCTTCCATGTGTCAAAAAGGCCTGTTCTGTTTTCTGTAACTACACAAATTTAATGTTGTATCTATGTGAACACATACTAAAGCTATGCAGAGATACAGTATCTTTCTCTGAACAAAAGTTTGGTGCAGGATACAATAAGATGCTTTGTCTCTGGAAGCCTGTGGCTAAGGCAGCACCAAGTAGAATGTGGATAAATGTATCCTGCCTTCTGTTAGCCTGTTTGTATTCCATAGTTACTGTACTGCAGTCCAAAACCTTATCAGGACCACAGCAAGTTATTTTAATAGTTCACTTCTACTAAAAGGAAGGTCCTGCTCCCCCACATCTTTCATCTGCTGTGTGTCTGACCTCGTGCTGCCATTGCTTAACCTGAATAAACCAGTTTCTGGACCTCTCTGGAAGCCAATTAAAAGAGCAGACCACTAACCTAGACAAAACAAATGGGTACTTCTCTGCTGGTTTGCTGAGTTAAATTGGCTGAAGTTAGGGTTTATAAGTTGGAGCCTATGCAACAGAGGGTGCTGGACCCATGTGGCCAGGAGTCAGGAAGGGAAGAGTGGCAATTTCAGAGTGTGTGTGTGTGGGGGGGGTGGCAGCAAGTTGTTAGGTCAGCTCAGCTGTATCTGAAACCCCACTCAATTGATATCATCTTCAGTTAGGATAAGATCCTTTTAATTTGTGAGAAAATAACAGGATGTTACAGTCACCGAAGTCAAGAATTAAAAAAGTCAACAATTAAAACATACAGAAACTCTAATAGAGGGAAGGACTTGAGCTCTTGGCTGAAGAAGCTAGCTTTTTCAGACAGTGTGGCCTCTCGATAAAACCTGGTACTGTGCTCATAAATGCTCTCAGTTACTAGTGTCTAAAATTAGTGCTCTCTATCTTACTTAGATAGAAATGTCTTGGATTGCAGAGGTTTTTATACACCTAGCTCTTGTGTATTGCAGTAAATAAACCTGGAGAACCTAGTTCTGAATCTGCCTCTGATTCTATCACTGGAACCAATGTTTGTGTATGTCTGAGAGCAATATGAACAAAGGATTAGCATGTGCAGCTCAATGCCTCTGTTGTACAGTCTGCTCATGATGACGTTACCTCCCTGTTCTGGCGTGGTTTAGCAGCAGCAGAAGATTATAATCTAATGGTCGATGCTGGTTATGGTTTTACTTGCAGTGCAAAACTGCTCTTGGAACAATGTTCTCATCACACTAACTGTTTGGGTAGAAGTGCCAAAGGAGAAACAGACCTGAAAAATAAAGATGCATTTTTTTTTTCCCCATGATAACCTGTTTCTTAACATGTTCATTTTAAGAGAGTGTGAGGAAAGTTTTGTTCAACTACTTAGATTGTATTTCCTCTTGGATCTCTCACTCCAGTCTCTTTTATGGTCTCTGTTCCCATGTTCCCACTGTGTATCTAAAAACCTGATTTCACTTACAGTTGGAGATGATTTCATTGAGCTTATTTATAAATATGGCACATGATCCCTTAATGGTGCATGGAGTGCAATAAATATCTGACAACTAATTGCTGCTAAGAACAGAAGTAATCCAAAGTGGCTTTAAAAATCACACTTAAGAGTGCTATTATTTTTGAGTACAGTATTGACATACTGTTTGCTGTCTGAGCTTCCTCCACAGAGATTTGTGTTATGGGAGGAACATTTATTTCTTGAGGATGGAGTAGACGTGATAGCTGTTTCATGCACCACTTCAAAGTTATTAATTCTTCATGAGAAACTAGCTAGGATTTATGACAAAGTGTCTGCTGCTATGCCTGCCGATTTTAATCTCCAGAAATTGCTAATGACTGCTGCCCTTCCCTGTGAATGAAGTGCTGACTATACCCTGAGGAATAAGAAAAAAATAGTGATGCACTAAACATCCAATTGTCCCATAGATTTATTTGACAATGGGCTAGATGTAGTTGAATTAGCACTTATAAGGATAAGCTTACATCCACGTATAAGTAGTGTTATTGAAGTCAACGAGGGCTACTTCTCATCTTGAGAAGTGTATGTGATTTGGGATCAGAGTACGTAATCTCTCTTGTTCATGTTTTGAATTAATTTCAAAATATTTTTCAGTGCCTCTGCTTTCTAATTTCCATTATCATGTTCACTATGTGTTGTTATAATGATTTTACTTCTATCCTGAACCAACGTAAATACTACAAATCAAATGGTATATAGGAACTGTAGTAGCTATTTCTGTTAGAAAACTGTATTTGATAGCATGAAACAATTTCTTGCAGCAGCTGTAATGAAAGTAAGCAAAGACTAATTTCTGGTTAAAGTAGCAGGAAAGATTCAGACAAACAAATTGTAATTAGACAACATGAGTACATGCCATCCCATTTGTTTCTCATTAGGAGTTCTGTAGCAAAGCTCTTCGATAAAAGTTTGAAAGTTATGTTCTTTGTCTTTAAATCTAGAAGATTGCTAGCAGTGTTTGTTCTAGTGACTTCTTTTTGTATTCATTTCAGAAATCTCAAAGTCCCAGAATGATATGGCTGACAGAAGTCTGCTAACGACAGATTATGGACATAATGTGGAAAGAAGGAAGCAAAGGAGGAGCCAGTCTGACACTGCCATCAACATTACATGCAGGGTATCCAAATTGTTATACACAAACTCTAGCTGCAAGAGCTGTTTCAGGAGTAGAATTCAAGAATAGTAACTTGCATGCTGGGAATTTACTTTTATTTATGAGCAGGGCTTTAGCTGATGTTCACTAACTGTGGCCAGAAGTCTGATTCCTCACATGTTTTTTTGACTGAGTCTCCACACTTGGTCTCAGCCCAGATCTGAAATGTTTACTGGGATTTTACAAAGACCATCACACGAGGGGAGGATGGGTCGCTTTTCTCTTGGGTGCTCACAGTCTGTGTTGGGACTAATTGACATCTGCTCTATGGGACTGTTAGACTGTGCAGAAGTTCTCTGTTTCCTGCCCAGGGTTGCCTCATCCCAGGTGCAGAATCTGGCATTTACCTTTATTAACATGCCAGAAAGTACTTTCATTTTTCAGAGAATTAATTGATTTCTCCCCCCCCCACCCCCTCCCCGTAGAGTGTGCACATTTCTTCTAGGAATAACCAGGAAATTAATAGATGTAGCTGCCATTTTGATTACGTGTGGTATAAGACTGGAGCACCACTTTAGTCTCAAGAGCAAGATCTGTTTCTCATGTAAGGTTTCTATATTTATGGTATGCTCCCAGCTTGATTCATTTAGTTTAATGTTGAAAGAGATTAAATTCAATAATAGAAGAAAAAAAATAACACAATCTCAACCACTGCAGCAAGCCTAAAGACTGAATTTAGGAAGTTGAATAGCATTTTTCTATGGCCTCCCACTATCAGTTCTTTAAGTTCATCAGACGAATCTAGGGAATTAAGTTCTATTATACTTAACTCAGTGGGAGAACAAACAGAAATGTGCAGGCTTGAGAAGCTGTTTGTGGTGTGTTTGTACCTATGGGTTACTGCTCCTGTGACAGTAGATGTGTGCTGCTGCAGAGTTAGGGCTGGATGTGAGTCTTGCTTATGATCTGATGCTAAGCTTAAGCACTTGTATTTATTTTGCATTGTCAGTCACTTATTTTCCACTTAACAAAGAAGTCTTTCCGATTCAAGCAGAAGCTAAAATACAGCATGAAGTAGCATGGTTAGGGTGTAAAACTGGTGTTTCAGATTTGTTTAAAAACCAGGCAAAAATCTCACTGCTGAGAAATACTGTGTTTTCAGGTTTTCTTTTTGAGTCTATATCTTGGATACGTTTTCTGTCTTTTTCCATCTTGCAAGGAAACTTAATGAATTCTTACATTCGTTTGTAAGGTATAGCAGTTATTACACATAACAATTTTTGTGTGTTATAATAACAGCATGCTGCTTTGGATTTTCTACATCCTGTCTTTTCAGAAGTAGTCTCAATGTGTTAACTGTTTCTGGCTGTTCTCATCCTTTAGTGCTGGTGGTGCAGGAGAGTTTTCTAGGTCTGTTAAAAACAATCATTTTCATACAGATAAATCCTTATCCTTTTGTTGATCCAGTCACACTATCATCTTTCTAGCCTTTTGGATAATCCTTGTCATACAGTTGTTTTCTTAGATTCTAACTCTAAAATTTCTCAGCTCGCTCTCTTTTGAACCATTAATTCCTTTTTCATAGGTTTTATTGTTCAGGGGTAATGCTGTGTCACAGTGAGCCATATATGCCAGTCTTCCTGCCCCTCATTCTATAAAGTCTATCATTATTTGTAACAGGGGTGGCTGAAAGTAAATCTCAAGGTGTTCTGCTACTACATTTCTTTATTTTCTACCAATTACCAGGGTTTTTGTGGAAAGAGTGAGAAATTGAATAGTCTTGAAGTCAAGAAATCTCAGATTTTTTTTTTTGTAATCAAAGCTAAATAAGAACTTGTCAGTCTGCTTCTATTTTCAGGTTTCTTTCAACCTACATTCATTCTTGCATAAATAGACGTGGGCATGTGTCATGATTTTACAAAATACTATTTTCGTTTTCCTGGAGGCAAGATTTTTTTTTTCTTCCAAAATTACTGTTTTGTTAAAGACTAGTAAGGCCTATTATTGATATATTACTACTTCTGGTATGTTATTTGCAGACTGTCATTAGCAATTGCTGTGGTGGTGAACCACAGCTTAGCTGGTGGTGTGTTGATTTTGTTCTGGATGTAATGAATGTACTGCTAGCTGAAATGGGCATGTTGTAAGTCAACATTTAAATGAAGTTGCTACATTTATCTTGGAAGTGCGCCATCTGTGTGACATTGATCAGTGTGAGTTGTAGATATTTACTTAATTTTTGTGTGATACCATTCTGAAGGAACTGATGACTTTCTCTTTATTAAAAAACAAACAAACAAACAAAAAAATCACAAGAAAAACGCAAAATAAGTTGTTGAATCTCTTACAGAAGAAAAGTACACCCAGTCTTCAAGATCTCTTCTATGGGGCTCAAAATGATAATGAAATTCTTACCAAAAGGAATTGCAAGCAAGGGGAAGACATAACAACCAGTCCCACAAGTGATGCCGTTTTCTGTGATGGCAGGAAACATGTAAGTTTAAGTGTGAAGCACAACAGAACAGCTACCAAATGGGGATCAATGTAAAAGCTAAGATATTGATTTATGTTACAGAATGTAAGAATTTTACTTGAGTTTCTTTCTGATAAAATGCTTTTGCCAAGCTCGTTGTAGAAACCCTGAACTACTCACAGCACAAGCCCAATAAAATTAATGACAGATAATTGGTAGATGGATATAGCCATTAATAGTGAATAACGAATATATCAAGTTCCTCTGAGTTTTGCAAATTCAGCTAACATTCATTCTGTTTTGTGTTAGTGTTGAGATCCTGAGCATGATTCTTTCTAGACTAGTAGCTAGCTACTTTTTCTTATTACTTCATTTAACAAAAGGCTTTTGTTATTTTGCAAGAGATGTGGTAATGCAAATGCCAGTGGAAATTCAAATGTCAGAACATTGGTGAATGAAGAGAAAGCTGGCAGTTAAGGAAGTCAGGGGAACAGCTGATAGGCTTAGAGGATGTTACTGAAACTTCCTCTGATGGGTGGCATTTTGAATACTGAAAATTACAGAGAAGGAAGCTAGTTGTAAATGAATTCAGTACATCATTTAAAGTCTCTGTGATTAACCTTGGCAGCTGATTTCTATGTATTAGTAATAAGGTTAATCAGGGTGAAGTGTCCAAAGAATCCGTGACTGATCTTGTAAAGAAGAGAACTAAAATGGCTTTTGAGGAATCAAAATTAAACCAGCCCGCTCACTTCACAGGGGATAAAAAAAAACAAGGATTTTGACTCTCTCTTCCTGTTTACTGAGCTGTGGAGGCTGAGGTGTTGCACTGACAAATGAACAATGCTTCTGGGGGACACTTGTGATTCTGCTGGCAGCTGTTGGAACTAGGCTATAGATAACCACAACCCAATTTTAATAGTAAAATTCCTCTTATGGGTAAATGTTTGTTGTTGATGACTGCTCCATGAAAATATGTCTTCCAAAATATAGTATGATATTATTTCCAGTCATGCCAGCAGGAGTGCAGTACATAACTCATTGCTAAGTCCTTGTTTACAAAGCAAAACATGAGTGATATCTACACTGATTGAATATATATAAAACACGATTTCTGATCAGGTGGGAGATTAATGTAATGGTGTTCAATCCAAATATCATTAATCAGAATAGCTATCAAGGTTTTAAGAATATGAGGACCTGTGGAATAAATTTTGAGTCACATATGTAGAACTAATAAGATACATGAGATAGAAATGCACATAGTTTTTCTTTTTTTTAGTGAAAGATTTTTGTGGAAAATAAACATTTTGGTCAGAAGAATAAAACTATTCTATGTCAGGATATAAAAGAGCAGAACTGAACAAAGCTGCAAGGGAGGTTGCACTGATATACATCTTGTGGTGAGAGCAAGATTATGTGCAACTTGCATCAGGTCACAACAGCCCTAACACTTGTGACTTCCTTAATAAGCACTCTGATCCTTGTTCCATCAGGTTTGAGCTTATGAGATTGAGTTGATAGCTTCTTTAAGTAAGCAGTTGCCATGCATATTAAAATGACCAGTTAGCACATCTGCAGCATTGACGAGAACATTTTGGCAGGAGTGTCTGCACAGAAGAAAGATCTGATCTTATAGACGCTGCTCTGCAGTCTTAGCTGCTGGGTTGTGCAATGCAGAACTCCTTGGTTAACCGACCCTGTGTGGGTTGGTGTTGTTTTTCAGAGGGAGGAGTGTTCTAATGCAGATATTTTAGCAATCTAGGACGATGTTACCATGAGATTAATCCCAACGACAAGCTTGTCCTCACGACATATATATGATGTGTAAAAAGATGCTAGAACGTATTTGGAAGAGCACCATTGTAGATGAATGGAGACCAAATTATTCTGACCCAGCTGACAGTTTGTTACAGTGAAGCCTGAGTAGCACTAGTGAGTTACGTGTCTGTGCTGGGCCACAGAAAAAGGCTGTAGTCTTCCTGTTCATTTCAGTGTCATGGCTTCTGTAAATGCTAGAAACAAATACTGTTTATATCTACCTGGATGGAGAGCATCCAAACCTTTGCCCTGTAGGTGCATGTAGATGAAAGAAGAACAAAGTGGCTGAGGTGAGCCAGAAAACACCTCCCTAATGCGCTAACCCATGACAGCTGGATGTCTTTGTATATTAATATTTCCTGAGCAATCTACTGCAGTCTGTCATTTTTATCTGGAACTGGGTGATCTTCTAGAGTGTTTACTGCTTGTGCATTGATGCTTTTGTTTCTTTAATATCCAAATGAACCTAGTGTCTCAGGTTCTATTGTATTGATGCTGTAAGCATCAATAGCAGTCTAGTTCTGTAATTTGTGTGTTTGTAAATTTCGGGATTTTTCTGTATCTGTCACTTGTGGACAGAACTCTCTTCCTTTCAGGTACTTAGCCCATTTTATGATGGGAAACCACATAGCACTTTTATTGGGAGACGATTTCTAGATCTAGAAATGATCTAAGAAAGTACTTTCTTAACTGTGAGTTAATGGAATTAAAATAATGAGTAGAACAGTAGTGAGTTTAATAGAACAGTAGAATTGGGATTAGTTACAATTTTCAGGGCTCCTATGGAAGCAACGGAATGATTTTTATACTCGTTACCTGAGATCTTCACGATTTCTCATAGCTGTGTAGCAATAGCAATGTAGTCAAGGTAGTTCTGACGTTTGAGGGAAATAAGTCTCTTGTTTTTCTAGATCTGAAGCTACTTTTCTGAAACATTTGTCTTTTTCTAGGGGAGTTTGTATAGCCTTAACAGCACTTGCACTGAATCTGGCAACTTTGGCAAAGTGAGCGTCACAGGAGAAATAGAGTTTGCCATAAGATACATCTTCAAGGCTTGCATCTTAGAAATTTGCATCAGAGGATGCAAGAATCTGGCTTATGGAGAGGAGAGGAAGAAAAAATGTAATCCGTAAGTATTTTATAGAGAAGGAGAAAAAAACAGAATATTTTGTTTATTGTTTCAAAGGTACTTACATATGCTGTAATTGGATTCATATATGATGGCATGCTGTATTAAGACTTTCAGAACATCCAGTACATATCTGCACTTTTTACCTCTCTTCACTGGAAAGCGCACGTTTCATATTAGCACTACTTGTTCTCACAGATTTCTGCTATTAATTGTCTCCTTCCCTGCCTGTGAGCAGCCAGTTGGTAATCTGTGTTGCTGATGAGCACCTTTGGATCTTAAGAGTGGCAGTTTAGATTCTAACTACTAAGTTGTGCCTGCAAAATTAATACGCACATGGCTAAAATACAAGATGGAAAATTGAAAGCTGAGTCATGTTACTAATTTATCTACTGACTCAGTGTGGGTTACTGCCTGACACATGGACTCCACACACACTGCTTCTATGCTTCCACCTTCCTCATCAATAAGAATGGAATTTCAGATACTGCAACACTTCTTGAGCACCTTCAAGTTTTAATAATTATGTACTGCCACAAGAAGTAGTGTGCTTACTTCCGTGGATAAAATGACTGGTTGGATGGTTAAGCCTTGGTGATTTGTTTGTTTGTTACTAAATGATCTCTGACCGTGCAGTAATCATTTGTGGAAAATCATCAAGCAGGATACCTAACTACATATTCTTGTCCCTGCTGTCACATGATTGCAGTCACCTTCACTCAGAAGGAATGTGGCTTTGCATATCTTGTGGAGGAAGCTCATAAAGATGAGCTTGGTGAGGAAAAGAACCTTGCTGAAAAAGCAGGACTGTGAGAGTGCTGCAGGAGTGGGTCAAAGTTCTCCAAGTCCCCTGGTGATTGAGCAAGGCAAACAGTTGGAGGAAGCCTGAAAAGTGATGTGGGAAGAGTTGTGCAGTGAACATGATGTTCTCTAATGGTATATATTCATGTATTCATATATTTACATTGGTTTCCAAGCCAACACAAAAAGTACAGTCAGTGCACTCGACAGAAAAAGACAAAAACAGCCAACAAACTCATAAGTTGTGTTTAAAACCTATTGAATTGTTTAGCTGGTTGACCAGTTTGAAGTCTGACTGTCTACTTCTTAATTAAATTGATCTGGGGTGATGCAGTAAGAAGCTAAAAGTTCTTATACCTGTATATTTTAAAAAGTAGTTTTAACTATAGATAGGTTTGGAAAGAATAGGGAATACTTGTAAGTTCTGCACTGATTATATGAAACTCTTATCTTAACTCTTCATTAATTAAGAAGTCATTTAAAAATTGGCTTAACTCATGTTATCTAAAATACATACCAAAAACACCTGTTTCAAAATTTGCCTGCCACATTGTGAGCCATCACTCTCTATTGCTAATACTCATCAGTTTTGAAGCTATCACATAAACATGACCAATTGGATTCCTTAATATGGAGAATAATGCTTAAATCATACTTTTTAGATGACCTAAACATGGGTAAATGGTGTTGATGCTTGATATTGGTTCAACTCAGCTTCCAGAAGACATTTTTAACTGTTTTTCATTGAGTCAGCATTAAGGTAATTTCAAACACTTTAGTTGCTCTTCTACTTATCACCCTCTGGTCACTTTCTGTATGACCTCTCTATTCTCAAGGTATGTCAAGGTTTATTTACTTCCTGATAAATCTTCTCGGAGTAAGCGGAAGACAGCTGTCAAAAAGAACACAGTGGATCCAGACTTTGATGAGACTTTGAAGGTACTGTTTGCAGTTGTGTCCTGCTAAACATGCTTTTCCACGGTAACGTCTCCTCCTATGACGTACAGTCCTGTGAGTTCAGAAATGTCTTGGTGGGCCAATTCTAGAAGTCGGTGACAGCAGCCATTAATAAATGATGGGTTTCTATCTGCAAATGGTTTTGGAATTACATGAATAACTGGCGAACTCTCAGTTAAATCTGCTTTTGTGCGTGAAAACACTGGACGAATGTGTTGCTCTGAGATACCTTATGGCAAAAGCAAAGTGTCTTCTATAGTGTCTTCTACACGCTTATTTGGTGTGTTCAGGAACTGAGTGGATTGCAGAGCAGAGTTAATTTTATGCTGCTATCCCTTTCAATTAATACCCTCTTATGCAGTGTCCTTGCAGTTAGCTGAATGCTGACTGAATTCCACTTTGCTAAAATGTTGTCTGCTCCCTCTTCCCTGTGCAGCTGTTACCAGACTGTCTCTCTGGACTGTCTCATTTCAAACATTAGTAATCCCATCAGAGAACAGTAGGTATGATTTGAATTCATTAGTGCCTTCCACTATTACTTTAGCAACCTTGTAACAACATTGTGTAGAACATAGAAGCCATTATTCTCACTTCACAGGCACTTAATAGGATGTGAAGCTGAAGCCAAGTACTGTCAGCAGACAGAGCTGAGATCAGTTTGGTTGTTTCCTGCTTCAGTTTTGTGCAGAGATAGCTATAAACCCATCTCTTTGTGTTCATCAGTGAGCTGCAGCAGCAAATAAGATGATGTGTTCTTCAGTAACGTGTTGTAACAGGCAGGGAACAAAATCAATGGAGGGACAAGTTTATAATATTTCTCCTTGAACTACATGAAAGTTTCAGTATGTCTGAATATCAGGGCTTAAACTGGGAGAAAAAAGCATCTATCATTGAAATATTTGGTTCTTACTTCATAGTCCCTTTTCAATGCCTGATTAATGCAGAGCTGATAGGCAATGAGAGTTGTGTCCAAGCTGGCTGTGTGAACATTCAGGTTAGTTAAATTAGAAATAACTTAAATTGATTTAAACATGTGGAAATGGTTGATTGAATATAGTGCCAGTGCAGATAAACTACACCTGAAAGCTGAGATCCAACTCAGTGGTATCTCTGGCTGCAAATCCAGACACCTGCACCTAGGCTGTGTTAGTGAAGAGCATTAGGTGCTCTCAGGAGTCACTGGAGTGATTCAGGGCTGTTTGTCCCGTAGCCTACAGCCGGCTTATGATTCAGCACCTCAGTGTTGGTAGCAATGCCTGCAGCCATGCCATCGCCTTTGGCTTCCAGGTCACCTGTAGGTGGTATCGTGCTTACCAATCCATTGTGGGTATCTTAGATACCTAACAACACCTCGAAGGGCTCTAACTATGCTTAGGGAGTAGATCAAGGCTTTGATGACAGGTCTCCTGAACTTCCTTGCTCATACTGACTGCACTATGTCTCCGCTGACCAGAATGGAAGTTTTAGACCTTTGTTAGGTGTCTTAATCTTCAACTGACCTCCAACTGTAGCAGTTAAATTGTACTGGGAGTGTAAAATAGAAAAAAAAAAAAAAAAAAAGATGATTTAAATAAAACAAACTATAAAGATGTAGATTAATAATTAGCAGTGCAGGCCAAGGTATTTTTGGAATGTAGTTTTGCATTTGCATGGGGCATTTAGCGTTTAAGGAGTGAGGTAACAGGTAAATTGCAAAGCACATTCAGACAGCATAGTTCTGTCTGCATCCAGGTGCCTTCAGCCATGCTTTAGTTGGGCTGCCTGTTAGCATCCTGCGAACATTCATCCTGTGCACTGCTTGTAAATGCTGTTTATCTTTCCAGTACAAGATTGAGCGCTCCCAGCTGGGAAGTCGGCAGCTTCAGATCTCTGTGTGGCATGCAGGAGCACTCAAGTACAGGGTGTTTTTGGGAGAAGTGGTGATTCCATTAGCAGCGTGGAGTTTTGAAGATAGCTCAATGGAGTCATTCAGCTGGTACCAGCTCCAGTCCAAGGTGATTGTTAATTTGTGCTTAGTTTTGTCTTAAGAAGTGTATGTAATGATAGAAAGCTATGAAAGAGATCGTCCTTCTGAGGTCACTGAGGCAAGAATGCTGTCAATCCAGCCCTCAAGTAAGACCTGCTACGTATATAAATGAGCTGTGAGAATGATGTGGAATAGAATGTAATTCTGATTTCTGTATGTCTCATTCTTCAGCATGAAAAGCCTGAAGATAATCTTATTCAATACAGTGGAGAACTCCTGGTGTCTGCAAGATTGTCAGTACCAGCCCAGTATAAAAATTTCCAGTTTGAAAGGTGGATGATGGAAGGTATAAAACATTCCAGTGTGTCCTTGAATGAATCCCTTGGCTAGAAAAGAATTGAGACCAATGAAGAACTGACAGTTCTCATATGGAGTTTGTATGCAGTTTTTAGTATGTTATATTTAATTTTTTTTACAATCGAAACATTTGCCAGCTGCAACTTTTTTTCTTATTTTTAATGCCAGAAAAAAGGAATCATTGTAATGGTTGTAGTATGATGTATCAAGATGTCTGGGAAGCTTGTGCTTATTGTGGTGTTGCTGGTAGACCTTACTGTGAAAGAGATGCAGTAGTTTCACTGTCAGAGGTAGAGACTGCCAATTTAGGAAAAAGGTGGAAAGGAATGGCTCCAAAGGTACCAAACGAGCATCCTTGGCTTCCTCCCGTCGTCTCATTTTAGGGAGATTGTTTCACTTTAAAAATGTTAGGTTCAAAATGTGCAATCAAGATTCAGGTTTTGGTGATGGATGACTTTCATGGTATGTTAAACCCTGAAGTAGCGTATCAGATCAAATATCTGCTGATGTAGAAATACAGATATTTTGAGGGCAGTGGATAGGTCAACCTCATTTCTTACCTCCCTGGTTCATGGTGAGGTATGTAAGGGTCTAGAGGTCTCGTAAAGCTGTGTTCAGGACTGTAGAACATGTAGAGACCAATAGAAAGACCTTAATTAGCTGTTAGATTAGTTCTACTGCCTTTCTTTTCTGAATAACCCCTAAGCCACCAGCTGGCTTTCTTCTACTCTTCTTCTGTCTGCAATTCCCTGTGTCCTTGCCCTGTAAATAGAGCTGTAACAGAGCATTGATCATCTTATGCAGCAGTGGATCCTTATCAAAATTGTAATATTCCTTTTTAATTAGTGACATCTTATGTTATCAACTGGACTAATTGGTTACTTAATGCGATAACCTTTCCTATTTCAGGAAAAAAAGACCAAGAATTTTCCAACTGCCAGCTTCAGGTTATGATATTTGGCGCCAGGAACTTGCCTGTGCTGAGATCCGCTGGAACGCTGAACTCGTTCGTTAAAGGGTATGTATGATACTTAACACTTCAAATGGAAAATATGCAAACATCCTGTGTAGAAGTAAGAATTAACTTGTTGTCAGCAGGAGACTGTTGTATGGAAATGGCACTGTCCACACTTGGTCAGTCTTGTTCATAGTGGTGCCAGTTCACACTTGAGCATCTGCAGAACAGCGGCCCTCAGAAGGGCAGTGAGGTGTCCTGAATGAAACATCAGAGTTTGCTGTTGTCATTAAAATTTAAAATTCACTAAGGATTCCTTCAACAGTCACTGACAACAGAGGAAAAGCAGATTTGGAGACCCACACTGATGGCAGGAAGAAAAAGCCAATCCCGAAAAGAAACTGAATAGCATCATTTCTACCTTGTGCTTAAGCTATTTAAGGCAAATCAAAGTATCCTGATTAGGGTAGTGCAAACATTCTGTTTTCTGATTGAGAAATACTGCTTGGATCAGTAAACTTGCTGAACTTGCATTGTATTTATTTTTTGGGGGGTGGGGGGAAAAGCTGTCTTATCCTTTCAGACCAAGCAGAGTTAAAGCAAAAGTCACCTGTGGTGAAGAAAGAAGACTGTCCTCAGTGGAAACACTTGTTTGTCTTTGATGTTACCCCAGCTCAGCTACAGCAGTCATGTCTACACTTGACTGTCTGGGACCAGTCAACTTTTGGCTCACATGATCAGTTCCTAGGGGGAGCCAAGCTTGGTGCAAGTAAGTTCTTTACTGATAAAAGCTGATGTTAATTTGGGTGGAAGAAAATGTTTATTTTGCCTTCTAAACCATATTTGCACTGCACTGTTACCGTGTGCCTGACATACAGCCCCCAGTCCCTGTCCTAAGAGACTTGCAATCTCAGGCTTTGATCCTGCTGGAAGCAATGCCTGTGTTTTAGTGCAGAAACTCCGGGTCATCAATAGGAACTGACAGGCAAAGCTTTTTGTTAGCATGGGAATGTTCTGGGTCAGTGCTTGGCCCTGCAGAAGACAAATAGAGCAGGGAATGAAAGATATGTACAGAGCTCTAGCTGTGGTGATTCAAGACTTGTTCCTGAGTGGTTTTCTCTACAAATTGGCTGTTTTAAAAATGCTATGAACTACATCAAAACTGAGCTCAAGAAGTAAGTCTATTAGAGTTCAACCTTGCAGATATTTGTGTTTATTTTATATCCACATGCTATTTCAATAGAAGGTACAGAAAATGAAGCTTGCTCAAAAGTCTTAAAGGAACTATTGCATGTCTGAACTCTGGTCCTAACATAAAGAGAGAAGTTTCTGAAGGCTGAGAAATGTACAGGAAATCCTTTGCTCAGTGACCAGGCCCTGCATAAACTAATCATTGAACAGAGAAGTACTGACACTTGATTGTCTGACAGTAAACGCTTTGCTTTTGGTATTTGAGATGAAAGGCTTAAGCTGGAGATTCATGTCACTTCATAGAATCACAGAATGGCCAGGGTTGGAAGGGACCTCAAGAATCATGAATCAACCCCCCTGCCACATCATTATTTAATGCTAGACCAGGCTGCCCAGGGCTCCATCCAATCTGGCCTCGAACACCTCTGGGGATGGGGCATCCACAACCACTATGGGCAGCCTGTTCCAGCACCTCACCACTCTCTCTGCAGCCTTGCTATACTACTTTTTCAGAAAAATATTATCACTAATAATGTGGTCTGCAGGCTTCCTCCTGAGCTTGGTTTGGATGTTCTTAAAGCATTTGCCTTTCTGTTAGAGCTTCTTAGTGACAGCAATTATCCGTACCCTAAGCCTAGTAACGCATTACAGACAATGAAGATGAAGTGGCATCACCTATTCTACCACTTTTGAATTGTGCATTTGCCCCTTTACTTTTGGTTATACAACAAAGAAAGTTCTTTGCTGCAGACTGAATTCTTCACTGAGTGATCCAAGTTTAACAGCATATAAATGATGCTTCAAAAGCATAACTACAGTTTATTACAAATAAGACAAAGAACTCCAGAACAGCTGACGTTGGCTAAGAACTGGGAGAAACAGCTTGTTTGTGCAGTCATTTGGGCCTGGACCTAATAAAATCTTTGGGTAAGGTGAAATGAAAAGTAGCCCTATGACCTTTCATTTTGCTTTCTTGCAGAGCAATTGTTTGGTTTTGCAGACCCCATTTCTCCATCAGTGCTTCAGTGGGAAGAAGTGTTCCGCAGGCCAAACACGTGGATGGACTTTACACTTATACTGCATTCAAATATGGAAAACTTTAAATCATGAAGATAATGGCCTGCCTTCCCTTCTCAGTGGGTGATAGTTGGGATGGGAGTGGTGCATACATTCTAAGCATGGTGAACACCTACTTCTGTGTTTGGGGAATTGAGTTGTAAGTTTGAATGGCTGTGATACTGAAGGTTTTATTTCTCAAAAATCTAAAGCTTTGTTATCTTATCATACACTTAACCTTTATCTCTAGGTGAATATTGTTTCTCAGGAGTAACAAACTGAAAGGCATTATGCTGACAAGGCACTAGTAGACAGATGGTATGCAGCTTTCTCTTTCTGGATATAGAGTTACAGTTGTTCAAACACAGATAAGGAATATTGCATAGAGATAAATGACCATTTTCTTATTAAAAAAAAGTTACTATTATTTCACTCCAGTTTTCATGCTTTGTGACCAAAGGAAAGTAAAAACTACCTCATCTCTTACTGCAAAATTATAACAAGCAGTGCTTCAGAACTATCTCCAGTGCCCATACTACTGATCCAAAAACAATTTGGCCTGCATGCCTCACAGCTTTCTAATGTGTGCTGTACTACCCAGTTAGTTATAAATTCTCCTTTGCTGGGAGGAGTGTGGCACATCCAACTAATAGAATAAATACTGTTAGAGGAAGTTCCTTGTTTTTACCAGCAGCTGCTGTGAACTGGTGTTAACATGTCAGACGGATCCATATGGTGTATGGCACAGTTCAGCTTATCACTTATTCATGTACAACTAGTGGAAATGCACGCTTAAAAACCTCATCTATACAGCTTTACCTGGTGCTGCTGTTACTTACCTCTCCCTCGGGGCTGAGGTGAAGATGGTCTCCATTCATCATTACAGCAAATATTATCCCTTCTTGCCAGCTCAGCGGTGTTTAAGGACATAATAAAGAAGGGAAGCATACACTAGCCTTGGAAGAGAGAAGTCAGCACCCTTTTTCATTAAAATACACTCTTACTCATGAAACACTCAACTCAAAATCCTTTGTTACTTTGCAGATCTTTTATTTAGATGTTTGCTGCTGCAAATAAAAAAAAACACAACACCACACAAGAAGATTCAACTCGAGTATAAAGCAGCACAGATGTTGTAAATGGAAGAGAAGAGCTGACACCATGCTGTATCTCACTTTCTAACAGATTTTCAAGGAAAAGGGGGAGATTAGTGGGGAAGGAATGATCACAGAAATGCTCTCTAATAGAGAGATACACCTGTGATATAAACAAGCAGTCCCTTCATGTTTGGAGTCTGAAACTTTAAATCAAACATTTAAAAAATTAGAAAATTTGTTAGAAAAATAGGTGCAGTAAAATTGTATATATTGGATCCATGTGTACATATCAATTTCCATTAAGTAAAAAAATGATCTTTACAAATAATGCTTTATAGTAAATAATCAGTTATACTGCAGACTACAGTGTTCAGGCGTCTTTACAGATGCGAGTCATTAAATCTGAAAAGTAACAAAATATACAGAGCAAAACTATTTCCCTTTTAAACTAGTACTTCAATCCACATACTGCATATTTTATATATATATATAAATACTACACTATAACTGATCAGTTATGAAACTGGAATGCAAACACAGTAGTGTATTATTCCAACAGAATATTTGCCTAGTTGTTACAGGAGGAGGGTGCCCTGTTCTGTGCCACACTTGGAGCTGTCGCTGCAGCACTTCTCCAGTTAAGCACAGCAATCAGGAAAAGCCTTATTTCAATGCAGTACACTTCTGAGGTGCTGTCAGTTCTCTTTTGTTTGTGTGTCAGGAGGGCATAAAGACAAAGAAAACAGAGTGCTTGTGTATGCATCAGCGCACACACAGCTGTTTGCAATTCCTGACTTGTAACCTCTCACCTGTTGGACATCACACTGTAACACAAAGACATATGGCACAAAATTCACCCCCAGTTGCTAATTTTTAGACCAAGGTGAATCCAGCACCTGCACAGGACATGCCTCTACAACTACATGTGGATTTGTGTTGGCTAGAGAGAGATGTGACATAAGGCCTTTTGGCACTAAGCAAAGGCATGAGCAAGTTACCAGGAGCAGAGGTAAGATCGATTTTTAACTATACCAAATTTAATACATGGTATGAAAGAAAAGGGAGATGCAAACACCTCTGGGTTTAGAGAACATTTGTTAAATACCGTACAGTGACCCCTCCTCAGGGTAAAAACAAAACCAAAACCACAGCATTAAGATCTGCCTTTCCCACAGTCTTGCCTTCTTGTTGTAAGCGCTCCTTACATTGCCTCAAACTCATCAATTCTCTGCTTGGTGTTGCCTTGTCGGATCTGCCGCAGCGTCTTGTACTTGTCACGGCCCTGTCGCACGTTCTCCGAGTGGATGATATCATTTTGGGTCCTCTTATCTTCATCTCTAGCCTGCGCCAGCTCATCTGTCAGTGCCTGCAATGGAGAGAATATTAAATACAAATTATACACAAGAAGCTTTCAACTTCCAACAGCAGTGGTTTTGGTGAGACTTTTTTGACAGTTCTTAGATGACCAGACAAGTCACCATGTGAATTCAACATATGGTTCCCATAAACAAACAGTATGGATGATGCAACTTTCTGATGACTCAAAGTCTGAACAACAAGAACAACCTTTTTGTACACTGCCTTTTATTCAAACTTCCCTATAGGACCCGTAAGCAAAGGAAAAAAAATCATGCTTTGTGTGCTTAACCAAGAGGTTAAATTACCTATTTTCTATGAACAAAATCTTTTGTCAATTCTCCTCCTCCGAACACTTTCTCTTACCTTCAGTTGCCTCTGCACACGCTCATTCTTCTCTGCTTCAGTAATGCGTTTCTCCTCATTGCGGTCATTCCTGATCCCCTCACTGGAGAACTCTGCGCTGTAGGCAGAGTACTCAGACCCCTCATCATGCAGGTTATCGTGCACGTGGTAGTTCACCGGCTCGTAGATGGGTGGGGGTGGAGGTGGAGCAGTCATTACCAAGTGTAGCTCTTCCTTTGTCTTTACCAGATCCTCCTGGGCTTCCCTAGCCTTTGGGGAAAACAAACAAAAGTGAAAAGGTCATGAGATTTGCATAGGTCTACTTCTTGAGCCTGCCAAGGTCCCTCCAGATCCCTTCTTTCCAGTGTGTCACCAATGGATGTGGTCAGGCTGACATCAGCAATCTTGCTGAGCAGGCACTCAGTCCCGCTGTCCACGTCACCAAAGCTAATAAACAGCATCAGCCCTAATGTCATGAGAAATGCCATTTGTTACTGGTCTCCACTTGGACACCAAGCTGTTGACTGCAACTCTTTGAGTGTGGTCATCCCCACAATTCCTCAGCCACCGCGTGGTCCACCTGTTAAATCCACATCTCTCCCATTCAGAGACAAGGATGCCATGCGGGACTGTGTTCAATACTTTCTATTTTGAATTCTGACTAAAGCACCACGGTGCACACTGCTCAAGCAAAGAACTTCAGAGCAACTTTGACAGAATACTCACTCTAATCTGCCATTCTTCAACCTCATTCTCCTTACGCTTCCTTGCCTCTTCAAGAAGTGCAATCTTGGCTGTATACTCTGCGAGCTCTGCAGCCTGTTAAATAATAACACTAGAATTAAGGACTTTAAAAAAAAAAAAACAACCCCACAACAAATACACAATTTTGACTTTGAAAAGACCCACGTGTTACACTCCCCTCTAGTAAAGACTGAATAGGAAATTAAGAACAAAGTATATATTGCTTGACTTTTTTTCCCCTTTTGACTCCAAGGTAAGTGGCATAGCATATCTTAGCCAAAAGTGATTGGGTCTTACCAGCTGTTCCTGGCTCTTTATCTGGTCAATATTTTGTCTCTCCAGCTCTTCTTTGGCTTGCAGAGCAGCCAGACGATCAGCTTCCAAACGTTCTGCTTCCTCCTGAGCTCGTCTCCTTTCTTCCTCCAGTTGAAGAGCTCTTTGGATCTGATCTGAGAGCTCTGGGAAAAAATAGATCAACGCTGTTAGTCCACCAAAAGACAAGCAAAGCAAAGACAAGCTCATAGGTTAACTGCAGAAGTCATGACATGCACATGACTCCAGCCTGCAATATTTCTTCACTGCACTTACAAGTAGGTATTGCACAAAATACGGCAAGTAACCAAATTCAAAAGCTGTCGGTTGCATATTATAATTAAATCATCTACAAGACATTTGCACTAACATGATCCTGCTGCCCTTAGTTGACAGTTTACTGTGAGGACCAGATGATGCTGTCTCCAAGCTGCTCATTTGTGCACTGAAACAGAAGCTTCCATTTCACTGGAGGGACTTGTTACCAACCCATTTCTTCTGTTCGGAGTTAAGTAAAAAGCATGTGCCAGCTGAGCTCTGGTTCTCACTGCTGCAAAAGGCTCATGCTAAAATCCCCCGGCAACAGGAAAAAAGAGAGTTAGTGTGACCTTCAACTCCCACTGATAGCAGCAGATGTCATGACTTATGCCTTGGATGATGTCAGTAGTGCATGCACGTGCATTTATCCATATAAGCAGATATCAGTATGCCTTGCCAAGAGATCCTGGTGTCACTAGACTTGGCTAAGTGTGAAGCACAGTACACATCATCTGGTTAAACAACGCAAGCACTTTACCTTTCTCTGCTCTCTTAGTCTTCACTTCATACTCTTGTAGCCTCACCAGCAGCTCTTCTTTTTCCCTCAGCATTTGCTCCTTCTCCCTCTCAATTGTCTCCCTCTTCTTCTTTTCGTTTTCTAGTTGTTGCCTGTTTAAGAACAGATTTCATGCTTGAAGCTCACTTTTAGACATAAACCACAGCAAGGCAAGAAAATTGGCTAGTCATCTAGCCAGACAGTTAAATAAGACAAGGCTGTGTGACTGCCACAAACGGAAGCCAGAAGACAGAAATACACTGAGAAATGCATCCTTCATCACTTCAGTTTTTGCTCAGTTTTGGATACTCACGTTTCATAAAAGTACTTCTATTTTCTGTTGGCTACCCCAGAACTTTAGAGAATCAAATAAACACTAGATGCAGAGAGAGAAAATCATGGCTCTGTGCTACATGTCAGAGGAGATGTATTTTACTACTTCTGTAATAAGGAAAATCAAGGAAGCATAGAAATGAGCACTGAGGAATGCAGATGAAAAAGTCAGAAATACAGGAGAAATCAGGATGATTTCTTGAATTGTAAGCAATCTGCAGCCATAGTGGAGAGTCCAGCAGAATTGTTAATCCTTTTCCCTTTGCCTCTAAGAGGTCTTCTAGTCCTCTCGCCTGCTCACCGCGTACACGCATTCCCTGTGAAGTCTGCTCCCTTAGCTCCCAACCGCTCCACAGTCCAACACGTACCAGAGTCAGGAGAACCTCTCTCTAGGTATAGGACCCCACACAGGAGCCCACAGTGACTTCACGTGCATGGCTCCTTGAAGAACCAGCTCTTAAGACCGCAGAGAGGAGAGCAGACTACACAAATGTGAGCCAGAAGAATTCTCGTGCTCCCACTGCAGAATACCCCGAGTCCTACCACTGTGAGCCAGAGCTCTAGGACTATACACACACACCTCTCCCAAAGGCAGATGGCTCACAGCCTCATTTAAAGCATCTGAGGAACTCCGGCAGACATGTATCATTTACCTCTGCCTCCCCATCCCACCGTCTGTACACAGGCTCACCTTTCCAGCTGCTTCTGGTGCTTCTCCTCTCGGGCCTGGGCCTTCATCTGCTGCACCTCAATGGTGTCAGGCTTCCTGCGTCGCATATACAGTTCGTGGTTGCCCATGCAGAGCTGCAGGATCCTCTTGTTAATTCTCAGACGAGGGGCATAAAACACAAAGTCCTGGGAAAGACAGCACACAGTCAGTTTTTCAGACAGCTGACTGCAGACATCGTCCTGCCACTAATCCCACCCACTGCAAC